CTTATCTGTGCTTGTCGACATACACTGGCGATTGTTTGAATTTATAATAATATAACCAAATATTCAGTCTTTCACTGACGTATTTTCCATGTGTCGACATTCATAAGAGAATATCGACATTCTCTAATTTTGGTCTTTCACACAGTAACATATATATATTCAATGATAGAACATTCAACATCTGAGAGATTGGAAACAAATGTACCAGTACAGTAATTGTAAAAGTCTTACTGTCCTTTTTAATTCTAATATTATTTTTAATTGTCTACTTGGACTTAATTTATTAATAGGACATAAGCTGGTGTTTAAAGATTGACACAGCAATGAGAGTTAGTTCAGGAAAGAACAAAATTTCTTTATTATATCACCTGTAGTAATAGTTTCTGGCCGTATCGCCCGTGCCTCTCCCGTCGGCTAGCGTCCCGACTGAATCCCCCCGCCTTTCGAAAGTCGAAAGGCGGGGGGATTCAGTCGGGACGCTAGCCGACGGGAGAGGCACGGGCGATACGGCCAGAAACTATTACTACAGGTGATATAATAAAGAAATTTTGTTCTTTCCTGAACTAACTCTCATTGCTGTGTCAATCTTTAAACACCAGTATTTCAGAAACTATTACTACAGGTGATATAATAAAGAAATTTTGTTCTTTCCTGAACTAACTCTCATTGCTGTGTCAATCTTTAAACACCAGCTTATGTCCTATTAATAAATTAAGTCCAAGTAGACAATTAAAAATAATATTAGAATTAAAAAGGACAGTAAGGCTTTTACAACAACTATTTATATTCATTTTGTAAAGAGTGTTAATAAGATTAAATAGTGATAGTTTAGAATTATATAAAAGTACAATTAATAAGGATTTGTTTGTATTAAGCATGTTATATTAATAATTAGTATGCTTATATAATTAAAATAAGGACTTCTAACTAATTAATTTATGACATGAGAAATTAATATTTAGTTACAATATATTGCCATAAATTTAAATTATAAGTTATAAAAACAAATTTAAACAAAATTTATTAAAATTATCTGTAACTTTTTAGGTGGTGCATTTATATATGGTGCCCAAGATTATTCATGGAGTAAGAAGGAACACTATACTCAGTTAGCAAAAGATATTACAAACACATGCCATGAATCATATTCCAGAACAGGTAAAAGAAATGGAAAAATAAAATGTTATTAAAATTATTAACAAAATAATTAACTTTCATGTAATTGCAGCAACTAAACTTGGACCAGAATCATTTAGATTCACGGATAACACAGAAGCAAGGACACTGAAACAAAATGAAAAATATTACATTCAACGTCCAGAAGTGATAGAATCGTACTTTTATCTTTGGCGTTTTACTCATGATCCAAAATATCGAGAGTGGGGATGGGAAGCTGCACAGGTAATAGTTTTTCTCTACATTTAAACATATTATTTGTTAAGTACAGTTATTAAAAATATAAATATATTTTTTTAAGGCTATAGAAAAACACTGTCGGGTTGAAAATGGTTTCACAGGACTCAAAAATGTATACGTTTTGGACAGTCCTAAAGACGATGTTCAGCAGAGTTTCTTTTTGGCCGAGACATTAAAATATCTTTATCTTTTGTTTTCCGAAGACGATTTGATTCCATTAGACAGCTGGGTCTTCAATACAGAAGCTCATCCTTTACCAATCAAAGGAAAAAATGTTGCCTTCAAGGAATCCAGTTGATGAATGTGGCAAAATTTGAAATGTACAGTATCCATAAAAATTTGAGATTTCATATGAAAGGCAGGACCTTGTCTTTTGTACAAATCACATAAACTATTTAAAAACAAAAGTAATTATGCATATATACTACTTTAACTTTATCATATGAAGAAGTAGTATAATTGCATAAGTGGAAAAAGTTATATATATACCGGTATATATTAATTGTACACTTATGTATATAAACTGTACAATTTGTAGAAGAAATATATGTATGGGAACACACAAAAATTGAAGATATCTCAGATAAAAATGTACATTTTGCAAAACTTCATAGAATTATTTAGCAATTGTCAAAATTTTTGCCAGGATAAATAGATATGCAGATAAAGTTTTCATTATCTGCCACTAGTTTAATGAGTTACGTTTATTATAGAAAGTCTCAGATTTTATTATGATTTGGATGTTACTCATTTACTTCCAGGAGAAGGATAGGAATTGAAGATTTTTGGAAGAATTTTATGAAGTGATAATTAAGAAGTGCAACTTTATTTGCACAAATATATATATAAATAAATATATTATATATATATATATATTAAAAACATAATCTATATTCCTGTTGAGAATGGTAAGTTATTCAATTGTCTGAAAGGTACANATATATAATAGGATAATTTTTAATTACTTGTCCCTTTTTCATTTCAGTGGCATAAGCAAAAACTATGCTTGGGCATCCAGTTCTAGTTCAATTTTAGCAGAATTTGGTACTTTGCATTTAGAATTTGTTTATCTAAGTCATATAACTGGAAATCCTGTATATAAGGAAAAAGTTGACAATATTCGTAACATTTTATATAAAATGGATAAACCTCAAGGACTCTATCCTAATTATTTAAATCCCAAAACAGGAAGATGGGGACAGCGTAAGTAATAATTTCATTACACGGGATAAACCAAAAGTTATGATACAAACAAAAAGTTTAACATCAATTTTTAGTTTCACGGATGGTTGTCATAGTTCTCTGGAATGGACTTCAAGGTTTTCAGATCTTGACCACCACAGATAAAAATTTAAAAAGTTACTTGAAAGCTTCACTACACCTGAAAATATTCAAAACATGGATCACTAAAGTTAGGTGCATAACACAAGTTCAGCTTGAGTGAGGGATATTCATACATATGTATTTTAGAAAGAAATGGTCATGATGTCAGTTATATTAGTCTAAAAAGTGTTATAATTTCCTATATATCATAACTTTTGGAACACCCTGTATTTTTATGAAATATGATTGTTAAACTTATGTGAAAATATTTCTTTTAGATCACATGTCTATAGGTGCTTTAGGTGATAGTTTTTATGAATATCTGTTGAAAGCTTGGTTTCAGTCTGGAAATGAAGATTCTCAAGCTCGTGAAATGTATGATACTGCAATTGAGGTAATGATTAAGTTTTAGAAGTTTCTTGAATGTGTTTGAGTAAACAAAAGCAATTAAGATATATCCATAGAAATTTAGTATTAAAAATGATAAGCAAACTGTAAAGATGACAACAAGAAATAAGTTTTTTTAAAAAATTGATTAATTTAAGAAGTTTGTTATATAAAATGTTTTAATACTTTTATTTAACTTTATTTATTTAACTTGTTATATATAAATTAATTTCTAAATATATTTATTACAAATTATTAAATATAATTGCAGGCAATGGAAAGTAAATTACTCCAAACTTCAAAAAGTGGACTAAAATATTTTGCTGATATGAAATATGATAGATTAGAACATAAAATGGATCATTTAGCTTGCTTTGCAGGTATTTATGAATTAATGTAGAAAACTAAATATTCTCATAGATGCATTGTGCAATTTGTCAAATTTCTAGGGGGGATATTTATGCAGTTTACATATAGTAGGCTTATAATAGTATCTCATTTTGCTATTAGGTGGTGGGTGACACAAAGATTATTGTAGTAGAACTAGAAAAGAATAAGAAAAGAATTGCAAATAGCTTACATGTATTGTAACAATTTTTGAATCACTTTAAAACATGCATGAAACACCAAAAGGACACCATTAAGCAACTCACTACTGGGTTTCTAGTTCAGGAAGAGATGATTTAGGTGTGCTTATCATAAGTATCCCTAAACATTGCTGTCCAGCAGTACTGACAGTAGTAGGTAAATAAACAAAGCAAAATAAAATGGCTGATGACAATATGTATCCTTATACAAATTTTTCCAACAGATACTATGATTTAGATGTCACAAATGATGATTAGACAGCTTCACTTATAAATCAACTTTGAGTTTGTATAAAATCAAACTAGATAGTTTTATAAAATTGTAAAATTTTTTACACCTGTGAGTTTTATGGAAAAGGAATTATTCCTTTTTGGAATACTTTCATTTCTTCAGAACTGGAGATACAAAAGGTAAGTGAAAGAAATGCCTCATTCATCTCTTCAAATCATATCCTGCATAGTTGTAATGCCATATATTATTACACAAAAAATATAATAATATATTACACAAAATAAATTATTCGTATGTTATATTGAAAACTTCACAGTTAATTTGTGAAATTTTTGCATCAATATGGTAGAAATCATATTTAAGATCTTCCTGGAATTTGACTTCTGTTTTAATGAAACTTTTTATATCAGTCTTTAATTTTTAGGAATCAGAAATCAGAATTTTCTGTTAAATATTTTTGCCATGCATACTAATGTAATAGAAACTCATCATGTTTGACTTTTAAACTTGTTCATTCAAGCATGTTAGATATGACATTCACATGAAGAGAAATTACATATTCTGAAAATGGACTGAATATTCAGAAATTTGATATATGATCTTTTAAAATTTAAAGACTGGTAGAATTTTCATAGTTATATTTGAGTTTTTTTTAAATAGGAATTTTCTGTTTGAAAAATTTTTGTATGTATATTATTTTAAGAAATATAAATATTTTCTTATTCATGTATTATTCAATTATTGTATATATAGTTTATTGTAAAATTTATATTATTTATTTATAATAAATTAGTATTTATTCATATTTTTTTTAAGTTATTATTTTACATAAACAAAAAATAATTTCTTGATATTAAAGTAATTAGCTCTGGTAATTCTTAAATAAAATTATATATATTATTGTACATTTCATGATTCTTGGACTTCTGTGATATGTAGTAGCAATAATGAGACTGAAAGGGCATAGATTATAATTATGAATTTAAACAATAGTTTTCATAACTTTATTAAGAATTTGTAAAATAAATTTATGTACCTCATTATACTTCTCTTAGAATAAAATACATCCTAATATTTTGATAGTACACAATTATTTCTTAAACAAAACATAAATAAAATAGCACATACCACTAAATAAAATTAAATTTTGATTATTTAATGATTTCATTGTAGTTATAACCATAATGATAATTTATAATGTAATAATAATGATGAAATAAACAGTAAATTTGATTATTTTTAATACCATATTATATTGAAGCAAATGGGTGGAATCCAATACTTTTGGAAGTTGTACTTGAAGATAAGCAATCATATTAATCATCAAATTCCTTTGAAACGGTCTGGCATTCTATTAGGGAGGCACACTTAACAATTTGAGAACAACCTATTTAATAAGATTTGAAGTAAATGTCAGGTTGTCAGTGTGTACTTTCTTTAAATATTTTAGAACCCCATTCAGAATACACAACTCTCAGTCAAAATTCATGAAACAACCTGTATTAATATAATTTTGCCTTAGAATTAAATTGTAAACAATTATATTTATAAATTTGTAACTATTTCCCATTAAAAACTAACAAGAACTCAATATTTTCATTAGAGTTAGAGAACAACAGAGTAAAAATGCTGAATAGATTTGTATTTTTACCTCTTGTATTATTATATAAAGAATCTTTGATAGGGCTGTTTTTTTTAAACAGCCCTATCAAAGATTCTTTATATAATAATACAAGAGGTAAAAATACAAATCTATTCAGCATTTTTACTCTGTTGTTCTCTAACTCTAATGAAAATATTGAGTTCTTGTTAGTTTTTAATGGGAAATAGTTACAAATTTATAAATATAATTGTTTACAATTTAATTCTAAGGCAAAATTATATTAATACAGGTTGTTTCATGAATTTTGACTGAGAGTTGTGTATTCTGAATGGGGTTCTAAAATATTTAAAGAAAGTACACACTGACAACCTGACATTTACTTCAAATCTTATTAAATAGGTTGTTCTCAAATTGTTAAGTGTGCCTCCCTAATAGAATGCCAGACCGTTTCAAAGGAATTTGATGATTAATATGATTGCTTATCTTCAAGTACAACTTCCAAAAGTATTGGATTCCACCCATTTGCTTCAATATAATATGGTATTAAAAATAATCAAATTTACTGTTTATTTCATCATTATTATTACATTATAAATTATCATTATGGTTATAACTACAATGAAATCATTAAATAATCAAAATTTAATTTTATTTAGTGGTATGTGCTATTTTATTTATGTTTTGTTTAAGAAATAATTGTGTACTATCAAAATATTAGGATGTATTTTATTCTAAGAGAAGTATAATGAGGTACATAAATTTATTTTACAAATTCTTAATAAAGTTATGAAAACTATTGTTTAAATTCATAATTATAATCTATGCCCTTTCAGTCTCATTATTGCTACTACATATCACAGAAGTCCAAGAATCATGAAATGTACAATAATATATATAATTTTATTTAAGAATTACCAGAGCTAATTACTTTAATATCAAGAAATTATTTTTTGTTTATGTAAAATAATAACTTAAAAAAAATATGAATAAATACTAATTTATTATAAATAAATAATATAAATTTTACAATAAACTATATATACAATAATTGAATAATACATGAATAAGAAAATATTTATATTTCTTAAAATAATATACATACAAAAATTTTTCAAACAGAAAATTCCTATTTAAAAAAAACTCAAATATAACTATGAAAATTCTACCAGTCTTTAAATTTTAAAAGATCATATATCAAATTTCTGAATATTCAGTCCATTTTCAGAATATGTAATTTCTCTTCATGTGAATGTCATATCTAACATGCTTGAATGAACAAGTTTAAAAGTTAAACATGATGAGTTTCTATTACATTAGTATGCATGGCAAAAATATTTAACAGAAAATTCTGATTTCTGATTCCTAAAAATTAAAGACTGATATAAAAAGTTTCATTAAAACAGAAGTCAAATTCCAGGAAGATCTTAAATATGATTTCTACCATATTGATGCAAAAATTTCACAAATTAACTGTGAAGTTTTCAATATAACATACGAATAATTTATTTTGTGTAATATATTATTATATTTTTTGTGTAATAATATATGGCATTACAACTATGCAGGATATGATTTGAAGAGATGAATGAGGCATTTCTTTCACTTACCTTTTGTATCTCCAGTTCTGAAGAAATGAAAGTATTCCAAAAAGGAATAATTCCTTTTCCATAAAACTCACAGGTGTAAAAAATTTTACAATTTTATAAAACTATCTAGTTTGATTTTATACAAACTCAAAGTTGATTTATAAGTGAAGCTGTCTAATCATCATTTGTGACATCTAAATCATAGTATCTGTTGGAAAAATTTGTATAAGGATACATATTGTCATCAGCCATTTTATTTTGCTTTGTTTATTTACCTACTACTGTCAGTACTGCTGGACAGCAATGTTTAGGGATACTTATGATAAGCACACCTAAATCATCTCTTCCTGAACTAGAAACCCAGTAGTGAGTTGCTTAATGGTGTCCTTTTGGTGTTTCATGCATGTTTTAAAGTGATTCAAAAATTGTTACAATACATGTAAGCTATTTGCAATTCTTTTCTTATTCTTTTCTAGTTCTACTACAATAATCTTTGTGTCACCCACCACCTAATAGCAAAATGAGATACTATTATAAGCCTACTATATGTAAACTGCATAAATATCCCCCCTAGAAATTTGACAAATTGCACAATGCATCTATGAGAATATTTAGTTTTCTACATTAATTCATAAATACCTGCAAAGCAAGCTAAATGATCCATTTTATGTTATAATCTATCATATTTCATATCAGCAAAATATTTTAGTCCACTTTTTGAAGTTTGGAGTAATTTACTTTCCATTGCCTGCAATTATATTTAATAATTTGTAATAAATATATTTAGAAATTAATTTATATATAACAAGTTAAATAAATAAAGTTAAATAAAAGTATTAAAACATTTTATATAACAAACTTCTTAAATTAATCAATTTTTTAAAAAAACTTATTTCTTGTTGTCATCTTTACAGTTTGCTTATCATTTTTAATACTAAATTTCTATGGATATATCTTAATTGCTTTTGTTTACTCAAACACATTCAAGAAACTTCTAAAACTTAATCATTACCTCAATTGCAGTATCATACATTTCACGAGCTTGAGAATCTTCATTTCCAGACTGAAACCAAGCTTTCAACAGATATTCATAAAAACTATCACCTAAAGCACCTATAGACATGTGATCTAAAAGAAATATTTTCACATAAGTTTAACAATCATATTTCATAAAAATACAGGGTGTTCCAAAAGTTATGATATATAGGAAATTATAACACTTTTTAGACTAATATAACTGACATCATGACCATTTCTTTCTAAAATACATATGTATGAATATCCCTCACTCAAGCTGAACTTGTGTTATGCACCTAACTTTAGTGATCCATGTTTTGAATATTTTCAGGTGTAGTGAAGCTTTCAAGTAACTTTTTAAATTTTTATCTGTGGTGGTCAAGATCTGAAAACCTTGAAGTCCATTCCAGAGAACTATGACAACCATCTGTGAAACTAAAAATTGATGTTAAACTTTTTGTTTGTATCATAACTTTTGGTTTATCCCGTGTAATGAAATTATTACTTACGCTGTCCCCATCTTCCTGTTTTGGGATTTAAATAATTAGGATAGAGTCCTTGAGGTTTATCCATTTTATATAAAATGTTACGAATATTGTCAACTTTTTCCTTATATACAGGATTTCCAGTTATATGACTTAGATAAACAAATTCTAAATGCAAAGTACCAAATTCTGCTAAAATTGAACTAGAACTGGATGCCCAAGCATAGTTTTTGCTTATGCCACTGAAATGAAAAAGGGACAAGTAATTAAAAATTATCCTATTATATATATATATATTTAATTGCATAATTTATGAGATATTATGTTCTGCAGATTTACAATGAAAACATCACCACTAACAAGGGAACTGTCGGAGTGGCATCTAATAAATTTTAATAAAATTTAGTTAATAGTTACGTTAAAAGTATACAAACTCTATATTAAATTTGTAGTATTCACTAAAAGAGTTAATCAGAGTTATTAGCAATCAAATGTCGTACTATTTTATATGCGGATTTTTAAAAGTGAAAGGGTCGCGGAGGAAGACGGCGATATTACATTTAGAATAAATTCTGGAATTTTCGAAAATGGGAGAAGAATTAATAACATTTAGTTAATAATTATGTTAAAAGCATGCAATCTCTATATTAAATCTGTAGTACTTACTAAAAGTATTAATCAGGATTAATAACTATTAAATGTCGTACTATTTTATAGTAGTTTAATACGANTAAATGCATATTTTGCATGCAAAGAATTATATTATATATATATATATATTAAAAACATAATCTATATTCCTGTTGAGAATGGTAAGTTATTCAATTGTCTGAAAGGTACATCTTTTTAAATATACTTTTTATCTTATATAATAAAAATATAATTTATGTCAGAATGTCAAAAATTGTACAAAATTACATTTAAGATATAAGTTGATGTGATAATTTTTATAAGTATAAAATGTTATGTAAAATAATCGTTAAATAAAAATAGATCCATTGAATATTTATTATTTTAATTCTGAAAAGTTTGAATAAATGATTTGAAGCATTTTTTAATATACTCACCTTTATAATTTCATTCAGAAAATAAAATTTTACTCATCTAAAGACCTAAAAGTATAGCAGAATGCCAATTAACTGAATCTCTACACTCCAAAGAACGAGCACTTGTGTCTTCGTACATTCCCTTCGTTTGCCAAGACAGTGCAAACAACCATTATTCCTATCCATTCCGGTCTGTTCTCACGCGTCAGTGTTCTGTTTGCTTTTCAAACTCATTCATTCTCACTTTTACGAATGCTAAAATATTTACAGTATCAGGTAAATGAAAATATGTCAAACAAATAAATGGTGGTCAAAAATAAATTTTGTTGAAAATCAGAAGGGAACAGTCTTAGAAGAAAGTTGTCAAAAAAGTTTGTTATTGTAATAGCATTTTACATGGATAGGAATGTTTTTCCCTAATCCAATTATTTAAAATTTTGATTATCTGAACTGATTTTGTCTCAATTTAAATAATCAGAGTACTATATTACCAATAAAATCAAGGATTTTACTATTCTTGAGTGTTTGACTAATGCAAATGAAAATCAGTTTAGCTATTTCTGATTATTAGACAACTTTTGATCACTTTATATTGTTTTTTAATATTAACAAAAATCTAATACGTATGGCACATACTGTAAAATTCTTTTAAAATTAGTATATTATACAGTTTACCCAAAAAGTCACTTGTCAAATGGGGAAAGAAGATATTGCAAATTACAGACAAAAGACACTGTAAATGATTTTAATGATGTTTAGAATAGTGTATGGTGTGTTGTACACTGCAATACTCATCAGTGTCACATTCAAAGTACCCGTACACTCAAATATAGTGTCATACACAATACAATGTGTCATGCTGCAAGAATTGCACATAAAATGTGAAGAATGGTACCAAGTCATTACTGCACCCAAAACAATAAGAACAGCAATTACCTAACTACTTCCATTTGGCAAATGATGTTTTGACCACTGTATTTTTGTCAATATATCATCATCCCATTTTATATGCACGTGAACTCAAAAATTTCACCATGTACATTTTCTTCACTTTATATCTCAAATTTGTTATAACAGTGTGGCAACTAATAACAAAATATGGGAACAAAAAATTCCATTGGGTAACATCTTTAAAATATATGTAGACTGTACTTTTTAAAAATGTTTAAATATATTCCCAGTTTACCATTAAAAAATGTAAATTGTATTTTTAAAAAAAATAAAAATGTAGATTTTAATGATTACTCGTGAACATTTTCATTAGAGAAGCGAACATTATGAAGAATTTCTATCCATCAGTTGGTGTTTTGTTATTATAATCTTTAATGATGATCAAGTAACTCACTACTAACTTATCATTGTAGTTGAATGTTCATATATTGTAAAAAGTAGAAAAATTATAAAGTTTTGCAAACTAAAATGTCATTAAGTTTAAATAATAAATAAATTTTATATTTCTCAATTAATACTCTGCATATGTCTATAAAAAAGGGGGATGGAAGCTGATTGTTGGCCATCTTTTAAAAACTTTGTCTATCCATCAAATGAAATTACAAATGTCTCCACTATCAAATATATATACTGCATATATTTTGATGGGGAACATTTGTATTTCCAAAACTAGGAAATTTTCCTAGTTTTGTGTGTTTTAAACAATTCCAGTTTAAAACACACAACTCTAGGGAATAAAGTTTTCAGATATAATTTTTTTCTTGCATTTCTAATATAACATGGAAATACTGTCAACATGATGTGGAGATAGGGAACTTTAGAGGTGACAGCGGGGAAATTCGGGTTTGAGAGCATCCCGTCCTTGGGTTAAGGTGCAAGCCTACCGCTTTGAGGAACAGGATCGATTAAAACATTCCATGAATTTTTTTTGGGGTGGTCTGTCCTGGATGTGTTGAGTCTCATTCTCACCACTGTAGGCCCGGCCTAGTCCATAGAGTTGCCTAAGACGTTAAGAGCCAAATTGTTAAGTACCTAAATTTTATTGTGCCTTCTACTACAGAGTTAGTTAATTTTATTGAGATAATGAACACAGATTTCAGATAGGTGCTAAAATGATTTAGTAGAGGACACCAAAATCTGTGCATGATTAAAAATAGAGATGTAGAAAATACTATTGTTATCAAAATGTATCAAGAATGATTCGTTTAAATGGCGCCATCATCTTTATTTCATCATTTGGCATACCAAATGATGAAATAATGATGATGGTGCCATTTAACTTATTGACATCTAGCAGCAATCTGTATGTCGTCATCTGATTTTCTTTGCAAATAAATGCATATTTTGCATGCAAAGAATTTTGTGCCAGTGGTTTTTCAATGTTGAGTGTAATCAAGCAAAGAACGCACAGTAAGTTTTGTTTTTGCAACAGAATTATTGCTATAAAAACATAGGAAATGTCACAAAAGCTTTCGGTGATAATGGTTTATCAAAAATCAAGCATTTTTGATTGGTACAAAATGTTCAAGAAAGGCAGAGAAGATAGCCATGCCAACTAATGAACAACACATCACTCGAGTCAGATCTGGTGCTCAATGATCATTGTTTAACAATTAGGGACCTTATCAAGCATGTTCTGACATCATTTAGATCTTGTTGAGTAATTTTAAAAGATTATTTGGGTTTGTGGCAAGTTGCTTCTTGAGTTGTCCCAAAAACATTGAAGTTTTTCCAAAAATAATGTGTTCAAGTGGTCGAGAAAATGCTTTCTACAGACAAATCATTTTTAAAATGCATCATTATGGATGATGAAACACATCTATGCTTTGACACCAAAACAACTCAACAATCGAGTGAATGGCACTTGAAAGGTGAAGCGAGACCAAAAAGACCACATCAAAGTTAGACAAAAATTGAAATCATGTGGACTTTTTTCTGATTGTCATGGTGGTGTGGCCAAACTGTCATCAACAGTTTGACCACAACACCATGGAGTGTTGCATTTTTTGCTTGAAGAAATTCGTAGAAAATGACCCAATCTGTGGTGAGAGAACTCCTGGATTTTGCACTACAATAATGCACTTGCTTGCAATGCTCTTGTTTTTGATGGATTTTTGGCCAAAAATGCAACAAATATGATTCTGCAAGCACTGTATTCAACTAATATGGCATTATGTGACTTTCTTGTTTCCTCAACTGAAATTTCTGCTTTGTGGACACTGTTTTCAGTCGATTGATGCCATAAAACAAAATTTGCTGAGAGTCCTGAAAGGGTTTCACAAAATGACTTTAAAGCATTTTTCAAGAATTGCAAAAAACATTGGCATTAGTGCATTGCAGTGAGAGGGAATTACTTTGAAGGGAACTAATAAATTTTGATGAATAAATTCAAATTGTGCATTTTATTGAACCATACCCAATCCTTTTTGATCACAAGGATATACAACAAACACACCACAAATAAAGTGAAAAAGCACCGAAAACATACGAGATATGATTTGGGTGTGAAACAGATTGAATTTATGCTTTGAGCGCATTTTTCACTGCACACACAATTTGAACTTCGAAGTGAATTTTTTTCAAATTTAGCATTCAAACTCCAAAGTATGAAGTATCACTGTGTTTTTGTTGAATATCGATTTATCATAATTTTCTGTTTAGTGAGGATTCAGTCACCACAATACTGCCCTTCTTCTTTTCACACCCCACTGTTTACAAAACATTGATGCAAGTGACATTTCTATTGTAGAATACAGTAGAACCTCGATTATCCGATCCCTGATTAACCGACCGTCCTAGTCAGCAAATTTCAAATGTCCGCTAGTGATGTGGCACTACAATATTTGGCTATGTCTTGGCTACTTTAATATTATTTTTACGTGTTTTAGCTGGCAACACTCATTCGACCATGAAAGNTGATAGTACACAATTATTTCTTAAACAAAACATAAATAAAATAGCACATACCACTAAATAAAATTAAATTTTGATTATTTAATGATTTCATTGTAGTTATAACCATAATGATAATTTATAATGTAATAATAATGATGAAATAAACAGTAAATTTGATTATTTTTAATACCATATTATATTGAAGCAAATGGGTGGAATCCAATACTTTTGGAAGTTGTACTTGAAGATAAGCAATCATATTAATCATCAAATTCCTTTGAAACGGTCTGGCATTCTATTAGGGAGGCACACTTAACAATTTGAGAACAACCTATTTAATAAGATTTGAAGTAAATGTCAGGTTGTCAGTGTGTACTTTCTTTAAATATTTTAGAACCCCATTCAGAATACACAACTCTCAGTCAAAATTCATGAAACAACCTGTATTAATATAATTTTGCCTTAGAATTAAATTGTAAACAATTATATTTATAAATTTGTAACTATTTCCCATTAAAAACTAACAAGAACTCAATATTTTCATTAGAGTTAGAGAACAACAGAGTAAAAATGCTGAATAGATTTGTATTTTTACCTCTTGTATTATTATATAAAGAATCTTTGATAGGGCTGTTTTTTTTAAACAGCCCTATCAAAGATTCTTTATATAATAATACAAGAGGTATTGATACAACTTGTTGAAATAAAGAGGTCCTCTCACTTTTGACTGGAATATTGTCTGCAGTAAATACAACTGTCTGAAAATTTCATGGAAATCTGATAATTACTATCACTTTGAATAGAATAAATATTAAAATTTGAGTCAGGAAAGTTGAAAGTAATATAAACCAGTGTTGGGATCATGAAAAACTTTGACTTGGAGAAAATTTGAGTTAAGGAAATTCAAGTTGGAGATGTTAAATCCCTATGCTATTCCATTGAAACTTGTCAAATGCTTCAATATCTTAGAGTTAAAGAAATATTCAAGTTACAGACATTTGAGTTAGAGAAGTTTTATTGTATAATAAAATACTGTATGCATATATATATATGCAATAATAAAATTACAAACATGACTTTAAAAATAAATAAAAGAAAAAACAGTACAATTTACACAACAAAAAAAATAGTGTATTAATAAAACTGTAAATAAATTATATTAAAAAATACACGAATATAAAAATAAAAAAATACAAAATGATACATAAGATATACAACACTTTATAATATGATTTTGTTTTTACAAATTTGTATCTAGAAAAATCAAGGTGCAAAAAGTCTTAGAATACTTTCATGTGTTTTATGGCTCTACAATAAAAAAATCAATGCAAAACACTTAATTAGTATAGCATCTTCTGTAAAGCAAAATAGGAATGTGGAAGTGTTTATTACTGGGTGCTAATGAATTGTTATAATGTTTGTAGAATAAAAATTTGGTCAAAATATATTATCCTATCTTTCATATAGGAAGATTCAATGTAGCACTTGTTAGACTGCTTGTATATGATAAATCATGTAATTCGTTCAAATACAAGAAAATTTTGCAAGAGCTCTGGAAATTTTATATATCAAAGGAGGAGCATCCAAAGACTATATTGGAAGACAGTTATCTATGATTGATTGAAAGCTGTAAAAAAGATTGCACAGATTACTGAATGTAAAGAAAGTTTTGATAATGCTGCTACAAAAATTCCTCTTCTAATTGTAAGATTTTAAAATAAGCTTATGTATGAAATTTAAATATAAATTTACATAATTTTTTTACTATAAAGTTACTATATGTGCTGTATTGTCAAACAGCACATATAGACCATTAATAGTGATTTAATTACTATTAATGTTCAATGTTTATAGATTACCAAGTTTATTCCATATTTAGTGGATTAATTCTCTTAAGCATTTATAAAAGGCGATGAACATGTAATGTAATTTATATTCTATTATAATACTATTTATATTCAATATTATTTTTAATTGTCTACTTGGACTTAATTTATTAATAGGACATAAGCTGGTGTTTAAAGATTGACACAGCAATGAGAGTTAGTTCAGGAAAGAACAAAATTTCTTTATTATATCACCTGTAGTAATAGTTTCTGGCCGTATTGCCCGTGCCTCTCCCGTCGGCTAGCGTCCCGACTGAATCCCCCCGCCTTTCGAAAGTCGAAAGGCGGGGGGATTCAACATTACATTCTGGACGTTGATATTACATTCAACGTCCAGAAGTGATAGAATCGTACTTTTATCTTTGGCGTTTTACTCATGATCCAAAATATCGAGAGTGGGGATGGGAAGCTGCACAGGTAATAGTTTTTCTCTACATTTAAACATATTATTTGTTAAGTACAGTTATTAAAAATATAAATATATTTTTTTAAGGCTATAGAAAAACACTGTCGGGTTGAAAATGGTTTCACAGGACTCAAAAATGTATACGTTTTGGACAGTCCTAAAGACGATGTTCAGCAGAGTTTCTTTTTGGCCGAGACATTAAAATATCTTTATCTTTTGTTTTCCGAAGACGATTTGATTCCATTAGACAGCTGGGTCTTCAATACAGAAGCTCATCCTTTACCAATCAAAGGAAAAAATGTTGCCTTCAAGGAATCCAGTTGATGAATGTGGCAAAATTTGAAATGTACAGTATCCATAAAAATTTGAGATTTCATATGAAAGGCAGGACCTTGTCTTTTGTACAAATCACATAAACTATTTAAAAACAAAAGTAATTATGCATATATACTACTTTAACTTTATCATATGAAGAAGTAGTATAATTGCATAAGTGGAAAAAGTTATATATATACCGGTATATATTAATTGTACACTTATGTATATAAACTGTACAATTTGTAGAAGAAATATATGTATGGGAACACACAAAAATTGAAGATATCTCAGATAAAAATGTACATTTTGCAAAACTTCATAGAATTATTTAGCAATTGTCAAAATTTTTGCCAGGATAAATAGATATGCAGATAAAGTTTTCATTATCTGCCACTAGTTTAATGAGTTACGTTTATTATAGAAAGTCTCAGATTTTATTATGATTTGGATGTTACTCATTTACTTCCAGGAGAAGGATAGGAATTGAAGATTTTTGGAAGAATTTTATGAAGTGATAATTAAGAAGTGCAACTTTATTTGCACAAATATATATATAAATAAATATATTATATATATATATATATTAAAAACATAATCTATATTCCTGTTGAGAATGGTAAGTTATTCAATTGTCTGAAAGGTACATCTTTTTAAATATACTTTTTATCTTATATAATAAAAATATAATTTATGTCAGAATGTCAAAAATTGTACAAAATTACATTTAAGATATAAGTTGATGTGATAATTTTTATAAGTATAAAATGTTATGTAAAATAATCGTTAAATAAAAATAGATCCATTGAATATTTATTATTTTAATTCTGAAAAGTTTGAATAAATGATTTGAAGCATTTTTTAATATACTCACCTTTATAATTTCATTCAGAAAATAAAATTTTACTCATCTAAAGACCTAAAAGTATAGCAGAATGCCAATTAACTGAATCTCTACACTCCAAAGAACGAGCACTTGTGTCTTCGTACATTCCCTTCGTTTGCCAAGACAGTGCAAACAACCATTATTCCTATCCATTCCGGTCTGTTCTCACGCGTCAGTGTTCTGTTTGCTTTTCAAACTCATTCATTCTCACTTTTACGAATGCTAAAATATTTACAGTATCAGGTAAATGAAAATATGTCAAACAAATAAATGGTGGTCAAAAATAAATTTTGTTGAAAATCAGAAGGGAACAGTCTTAGAAGAAAGTTGTCAAAAAAGTTTGTTATTGTAATAGCATTTTACATGGATAGGAATGTTTTTCCCTAATCCAATTATTTAAAATTTTGATTATCTGAACTGATTTTGTCTCAATTTAAATAATCAGAGTACTATATTACCAATAAAATCAAGGATTTTACTATTCTTGAGTGTTTGACTAATGCAAATGAAAATCAGTTTAGCTATTTCTGATTATTAGACAACTTTTGATCACTTTATATTGTTTTTTAATATTAACAAAAATCTAATACGTATGGCACATACTGTAAAATTCTTTTAAAATTAGTATATTATACAGTTTACCCAAAAAGTCACTTGTCAAATGGGGAAAGAAGATATTGCAAATTACAGACAAAAGACACTGTAAATGATTTTAATGATGTTTAGAATAGTGTATGGTGTGTTGTACACTGCAATACTCATCAGTGTCACATTCAAAGTACCCGTACACTCAAATATAGTGTCATACACAATACAATGTGTCATGCTGCAAGAATTGCACATAAAATGTGAAGAATGGTACCAAGTCATTACTGCACCCAAAACAATAAGAACAGCAATTACCTAACTACTTCCATTTGGCAAATGATGTTTTGACCACTGTATTTTTGTCAATATATCATCATCCCATTTTATATGCACGTGAACTCAAAAATTTCACCATGTACATTTTCTTCACTTTATATCTCAAATTTGTTATAACAGTGTGGCAACTAATAACAAAATATGGGAACAAAAAATTCCATTGGGTAACATCTTTAAAATATATGTAGACTGTACTTTTTAAAAATGTTTAAATATATTCCCAGTTTACCATTAAAAAATGTAAATTGTATTTTTAAAAAAAATAAAAATGTAGATTTTAATGATTACTCGTGAACATTTTCATTAGAGAAGTGAACATTATGAAGAATTTCTATCCATCAGTTGGTGTTTTGTTATTATAATCTTTAATGATGATCAAGTAACTCACTACTAACTTATCATTGTAGTTGAATGTTCATATATTGTAAAAAGTAGAAAAATTATAAAGTTTTGCAAACTAAAATGTCATTAAGTTTAAATAATAAATAAATTTTATATTTCTCAATTAATACTCTGCATATGTCTATAAAAAAGGGGGATGGAAGCTGATTGTTGGCCATCTTTTAAAAACTTTGTCTATCCATCAAATGAAATTACAAATGTCTCCACTATCAAATATATATACTGCATATATTTTGATGGGGAACATTTGTATTTCCAAAACTAGGAAATTTTCCTAGTTTTGTGTGTTTTAAACAATTCCAGTTTAAAACACACAACTCTAGGGAATAAAGTTTTCAGATATAATTTTTTTCTTGCATTTCTAATATAACATGGAAATACTGTCAACATGATGTGGAGATAGGGAACTTTAGAGGTGACAGCGGGGAAATTCGGGTTTGAGAGCATCCCGTCCTTGGGTTAAGGTGCAAGCCTACCGCTTTGAGGAACAGGATCGATTAAAACATTCCATGAATTTTTTTTGGGGTGGTCTGTCCTGGATGTGTTGAGTCTCATTCTCACCACTGTAGGCCCGGCCTAGTCCATAGAGTTGCCTAAGACGTTAAGAGCCAAATTGTTAAGTACCTAAATTTTATTGTGCCTTCTACTACAGAGTTAGTTAATTTTATTGAGATAATGAACACAGATTTCAGATAGGTGCTAAAATGATTTAGTAGAGGACACCAAAATCTGTGCATGATTAAAAATAGAGATGTAGAAAATACTATTGTTATCAAAATGTATCAAGAATGATTCGTTTAAATGGCGCCATCATCTTTATTTCATCATTTGGCATACCAAATGATGAAATAATGATGATGGTGCCATTTAACTTATTGACATCTAGCAGCAATCTGTATGTCGTCATCTGATTTTCTTTGCAAATAAATGCATATTTTGCATGCAAAGAATTTTGTGCCAGTGGTTTTTCAATGTTGAGTGTAATCAAGCAAAGAACGCACAGTAAGTTTTGTTTTTGCAACAGAATTATTGCTATAAAAACATAGGAAATGTCACAAAAGCTTTCGGTGATAATGGTTTATCAAAAATCAAGCATTTTTGATTGGTACAAAATGTTCAAGAAAGGCAGAGAAGATAGCCATGCCAACTAATGAACAACACATCACTCGAGTCAGATCTGGTGCTCAATGATCATTGTTTAACAATTAGGGACCTTATCAAGCATGTTCTGACATCATTTAGATCTTGTTGAGTAATTTTAAAAGATTATTTGGGTTTGTGGCAAGTTGCTTCTTGAGTTGTCCCAAAAACATTGAAGTTTTTCCAAAAATAATGTGTTCAAGTGGTCGAGAAAATGCTTTCTACAGACAAATCATTTTTAAAATGCATCATTATGGATGATGAAACACATCTATGCTTTGACACCAAAACAACTCAACAATCGAGTGAATGGCACTTGAAAGGTGAAGCGAGACCAAAAAGACCACATCAAAGTTAGACAAAAATTGAAATCATGTGGACTTTTTTCTGATTGTCATGGTGGTGTGGCCAAACTGTCATCAACAGTTTGACCACAACACCATGGAGTGTTGCATTTTTTGCTTGAAGAAATTCGTAGAAAATGACCCAATCTGTGGTGAGAGAACTCCTGGATTTTGCACTACAATAATGCACTTGCTTGCAATGCTCTTGTTTTTGATGGATTTTTGGCCAAAAATGCAACAAATATGATTCTGCAAGCACTGTATTCAACTAATATGGCATTATGTGACTTTCTTGTTTCCTCAACTGAAATTTCTGCTTTGTGGACACTGTTTTCAGTCGATTGATGCCATAAAACAAAATTTGCTGAGAGTCCTGAAAGGGTTTCACAAAATGACTTTAAAGCATTTTTCAAGAATTGCAAAAAACATTGGCATTAGTGCATTGCAGTGAGAGGGAATTACTTTGAAGGGAACTAATAAATTTTGATGAATAAATTCAAATTGTGCATTTTATTGAACCATACCCAATCCTTTTTGATCACAAGGATATACAACAAACACACCACAAATAAAGTGAAAAAGCACCGAAAACATACGAGATATGATTTGGGTGTGAAACAGATTGAATTTATGCTTTGAGCGCATTTTTCACTGCACACACAATTTGAACTTCGAAGTGAATTTTTTTCAAATTTAGCATTCAAACTCCAAAGTATGAAGTATCACTGTGTTTTTGTTGAATATCGATTTATCATAATTTTCTGTTTAGTGAGGATTCAGTCACCACAATACTGCCCTTCTTCTTTTCACACCCCACTGTTTACAAAACATTGATGCAAGTGACATTTCTATTGTAGAATACAGTAGAACCTCGATTATCCGATCCCTGATTAACCGACCGTCCTAGTCAGCAAATTTCAAATGTCCGCTAGTGATGTGGCACTACAATATTTGGCTATGTCTTGGCTACTTTAATATTATTTTTACGTGTTTTAGCTGGCAACACTCATTCGACCATGAAAGGGAGCCAGTATTTAAACGCGGCTTAATTTTCTAATTTTTAACGATACAATAGCGACGATTATTATTTTAAAAAATTTTTGTTAGGCTTAACATCGATGAAAATTCAACACGAAGTAGGTTAATAGCGATATATTAATATACTAATTACATGGGCTATAATAATATACTACACTAATAATGAATTTTTTCATACTTTTCGGTTATCCGACCAACTCCAGTCCCCATTTGAGTTGGATAATCAAGGCTCTACTGTATTTTGAATTTTTTTTTTTTTTGTTATGGCCTGAAAAAACTGAAAATACAATATGACTAACATTGAAAATGCAGTTTCTGTTATAAATTTAATAAAAAGTTTTCAAATTATATTTTCATTTAAAATTTTTAAATTTAATAAATAAATATGCACCACTGATCAAAAAGCTACACTCGTAAGACAAGAAAACCGAAAGAATTATTATTTCTGTTTTGATCTATAGAACAATATGGTTATTATTATGACACCTTTTTAATACAAAAATGCAATTTTTTTTAATTCTATGAAATAACAATGTATAGGAATATTAGCTAATTTATAATTTATAGATATAACAACATTGTTAAAACAAAACTGATGTAACTTAATTATAAAATTCATTTATCACTTTTAAAAACATTAAAAAAGGCCTGATACATTTTAATTTGTTAATATTTAAAGAGGCACCAAAAAAATCTCTAAGTAAGTTTAAGTTGTGTATAATGATAATTCAAAAGGAAGAATGTTTAATGGAAGATACTTTTCAGTAAATATCATTATTCTGTACATTTTTTATAGTTCATTATTAATACAAAACAAGGGATTATTTCAGAAAATGAAATATGATTATAATAGTAATTTATACTTTATAACAATCAATTTTGCAGTAAATTTCCTCCAATTTTTGACCATTGCATAATTAGCAGACTTCTAAGGAGTAAAATAGAATTTCTATGAAGTTATTGAAATTGACTGATTCTGTTGAATACAATAAAATCAATCAACTAATTGATTAATTACAATTGTATGCAAAACACAGCATTCCCACACATAGTTTGAGGGATTAACTTTTAACAGCATGTATCACATCTGTGCAGTAACTAGGACAAAGGAGGCCCTAAAATGGGATATCAAAAAATGATTGGTGTATTACTAAAATTTTAAATTTTGCTGTTTTGGGGGCTGATTCCGTAAGGTTTTTGGTTAAAAATAAAAAACTAACTGACCATTTCTATCACATTATCACATGTTTTTTAAAAAAACAATGCAATATAAACACCTTACACACTTTTCCAGCACTAGTTTAAAGGTGGAGGTGTAAATGTTCATCTTTGGAATGACTCATTTCCATCCCTGTAAGTAACAGAGATGAAACATGGAGTGAATTAACCACTCAACAGTGAGGGACAGATATATCTGTCCAGGGCGATCATGTGGCAGTGGTGAGGGAAGGATATATCCGTTAAATTTTTTTGGGGTATCACCAAAAACTACTGCGAAAAAAATTCACATAAAAATGAATTATGTAATAATAAAAAAAGACTTTTCTTTACTAGACATTACTGTTTCGGAAAAAGATTTTGTAAACAGTTATGAGAAAAAATGCGTGGAAAAATACTTTAAAAATTTCCCACGTTTAATCTGCACAACTTTTGGGTAGCACCATATCTGACTATCTCACTGTTGAAAAGTTAACTTGTTTCAATTTTTCAATAAAATTATTAAGTATTTGAAACATTTAAATATAAACATTTAATATGTTCTTTATATAATACAGGATTTTTAATTTACAGATCTGTTTATTTACAACATATTTTTTGATACAAAATAAGTTCTTTTTATTACGAACTCATTTTGCATAGTATGAAACAAACAGTATCACAGCATATGGATATTTTACAACGTCTATAAGTGCATTTAGTTTGATTTGATGATAATTTTCAATTTTCATTCATTACAAATTGTATCTATGACATCATCACAATGGTAAAATGCAAATGTGAAGAAAATTATCTGGATAACTTAGATGCTCACTCATCCATTGCAAAGGAGTGTCTAACGATGGTTCTATGCCATGTGTTACTACCTTATATTTCAGTTCTCCTTCTAAAAATAATGACAACACAAGATTAATGTTTGAGTAAGAATATTTTCATTTTAAATTCAGAATTAATGTAAAATTTTACCCTGGTTCATAATATCTGGAATGATCATTATTAACAAGTGTTTAAGTGTTTGTTTTTCTCCCATATCATTTAAAGGACGAATCAATCTCTGAATGAATGGCTGATCTAGCTATATATGTAATTCATGTTTAGAATTTGTTTTTAATTATAACTTTAAAATTATTCAGATAATTTTACCTGATATATTCTAAAAGGAATATGTTTAAATGGTTCATCATTTGTATGCTCCATAAGTTTTCTGTTAACTGCCCAAAATTGGTCAAATTTATCTAAATATAAAAACAAATTATGTGACATTAGAAAAAATTTAACATTTATTGTAAAAAAAATTCATTACCATTTTGTAAACCCTGCCATAATTGAATATGATCCTTTTTCTGCATGCTAGTGATAACTTGTCCTCTATGTTTTAGTGCATCTGCTTCCTTTATTGTGGCCATAAAGTATGATTCGACAGCCAACCTTCCTTGACAGTGCATTAATTCGTCTTTAGGAAAATCCTGTCAACATTAGTCATTATAAATAAACATGTACAGTACGTAAATGATTATTATATAAATTGTAAAATTAAAAAAAATCTAGCAATGGGTTATGTAACTTTCCTGGCTATTATGAGATTATTTTATTTCTAAAATAAAATGAAAAATGTGTGTATAAAATGCTGATAAAATGTCTATTCAGCTATTTTATCATAAAGACAATTCAGAAAAATTTTGTTTTATTTCAACCTGACAAGAAATTCCAACAATTAAATACTGTTTAAAACAATTTTGAAATAGAGATTTAAAAAAGTCAAAGAGGAAAATCTTTTGTTTTGTTTTTAATCAAAGTGAAATTCTTGACAAGAGATTAGACATTTTTTAACGTCTAATCTCTTGTCAAGAATTTCACTTTGATTAAAACTTGATTAAAACTTAAAAAATTTCACTTAGACATTAGACATTTTTTAATGTCTAATCTCTAAATAAAAAATGTCTAATCTCTAAAATATATTCCATATTGTGTGTGTTGATGAGCCAGATAGTCTGGTGTTCTTTTCTTTTGCCAAAGGAAGCCTAATTGGCAATGTACACAATGTACGTACATAAGAATATTAAAAACTTAAAAATCAGCAAAACGAGCTACTATACAAGATGTATTTAGCTATCTCTATGTAAGAAATTTTGGATATTGGTGTGTTTGGTGTTTGTTTTAATTAATGTATGTATCATGAAGATGGTGTAGTGCCATTCTTGTTTTAAGGTTAGTTCACAAGTCTACAATGTTCTATTTCACTCACGATCTTTGATGGTGTTTCATTCTGTTACAATGTTCAAAGTCACATTCTACTAAGTGCTGATGGCTTGACCTTGTGACTTCACAGCTAAGAGTCAATTGGATAGGTGAGCTAGAACCACGTATTTTGTAATTGATGCATATGCTCAACTGGTACAAGTATATGATTGAGTGTGCTTAGATTAATGATGATGAACTGTTAATAAATATGGCAAAAAGTTATCCAATTTTATGTAAAGTTGGATTAAAAGAATAAATACATCAAAATTTAGAGTTCATATCAAGAAAAACTTGCAAATGAATTGTTTCAGGAATAACAGGTAGGTCTATTTTACATAATTAAAAAAATTCTTAGTCAAAAATTAAATACTGTAAGCTTATGACAATTATAAGTTCATTATATTATAATTTAAAATAGTAGAAACATTTAAAGAATTCTTTTATTAACTTAAAACAATTATTTATGTTAGGGCTTACAATACAATAATAAAGGTTATGATATTTTTGAGAAATTTAATAAGTGTTGGATGTATTTTGAATATATTATATGCATTACACTCATGAAATATGAGATACTGTAAAATGCTTTCCAGTAATTCTATTTTGTTTGTATTCTTATAGAATAACTGAATCTAAGAGTAGCTGTTCTTTACATTTAATATAGTTTTTACAACAACCTTTTTGTTGTTCAACATGTTATATTTTGTTTGTGATGCATGAAATGAGTATTTTGTAGTGTATTGGAAGGGACATGATTAGTCTGTATTGTGTAGGATGTTTAATGTTGTCATTTTTAGGTCACATTAATGTGATATAAGAAATTTTGGTATGTCATGTGGATTACTATAGTCTATTTATTGTAAGTTGGCACCTACTGTAAACAAACTAAGACACACCCCCCTTTGTTTATTAGTTTAAACCTACGTCCATCAATTAGAACCACGTTGCATTTCATTTGTCCATGGAAAATAGTTCTTCGTTATTTATAAAATCATTAATGAAATACTAGTCACTTAGCAATGATTATAAATGTAGCTATTTCATATTTGTTAACTTGTTATTTTTAATGAATATTTGCACATTCTGAATCATTAAAAATAAACTTTTCTGGTCATGGTTTATTTTTAATGATTCAGAATGTGCAAATATTCATTAAAAATAACAAGTTAACAAATATGAAATAGCTACATTTATAATCATTGCTAAGTGACTAGTATTTCATTAATGATTTTATAAATAACGAAGAACTATTTTCCATGGACAAATGAAATGCAACGTGGTTCTAATTGATGGACGTAGGTTTAAACTAATAAACAAAGGGGGGTGTGTCTTAGTTTGTTTACAGTAGGTGCCAACTTACAATAAATAGACTATAGTAATCCACATGACATACCAAAATTTCTTATATCACATTAATGNCATTTTAATGTTAATTTCACAAATATTCATTAAAAATAACAAGTTAACAAATATGAAATAGCTACATTTATAATCATTGCTAAGTGACTAGTATTTCATTAATGATTTTATAAATAACGAAGAACTATTTTCCATGGACAAATGAAGTGCAATGCGGTTCTAATTGATGGACGTAGGTTTAAATCAATAAACAAAGAGGGGTGTGTCTTAGTTTGTTTACAGTAGGTGCCAACTTATGATAAATACAGTATAATTGTGTTATAAAATGTTTGGCTAGTTTCTGGTGCAGGGATGTGATTGTTGTGTCTTCAATTATGTTCTTTGTACTAAATTTTGAGCATTGTGCATGTTTATTTCAACCCATAATATAATCAGTGTCTCATGTATTTTCTTTTTCCTCTTTGATTTGTCATTCTTCATCTTTGGATGTACTGAATTGAGCCAAATTACAGACCAATAATCTGCAAGTTCTTTTTCTGTAGGTGTGTCACTGTGCTGTAAATGTGTAGTGGGTTTAGTATGCAAATAATTATTAATGTAACTTACATGTTTTGGGATTGATCATTTTGATATTACATAATTACAACAGACAGCTACTTATTAGGCCTACATAACTGATACTTATATATTTTAAAATTTTAATCAGATAAATTTTGATGCTCAAAATGATTTATTTAACTTCACTATTATTAATTTACTTTAAACAAAAACATTTTTATTTCAATTCAATTATATCTTACTTGAAAATGAATAGTAAGATCCCATGGAAGAGTGGCATCGTTTGCATATAAATCAAATAACAATCCTATGGGATAATGCCTATAAAAATTAATTTATTTTAAATCAAGAATATCAAGTAATTTAAACATTTTAAATTAAATATTACCATTTAAGAGGTTGTCCACCATAATCAAGCCATGTTTCTGCATTCTGATGCTCTTCTGCTAAATGCTGAGCAAAGTGTTTTTGTACTTTATCCAAAACCAATGGAAAATAACTAAGACGAGGAACCATTAACTAAAAATTTAAACATATGTTATAAAAAAGCACAAATGTTATAAAATCATCTCTAACAATTAAAACATTTTAATGTTAATTTCACAAATATTCATTAAATATAACAAAGAATATGAATATAATATCAAAATTAATTTTTATTGTTAGAAATTACCGTGTGTATTTTTGAAATTGTTAAATTTTATTTATTCTGTTTAATAAGAGAGATTCAAGGAACATTCAATAGAAAACTGGAAAAGTGCCATTAAAGCTGGGAGGATAAGCAATAGTATAGTAATTTTGAAACTTACACAAAACTTCAGAGTCAGATGCAACAGTAGCTGTGACAGACAACACTGCTCATGTGTGAAAATGTAAGACAAAAACAGACCTATAAAATAACAGTGCTTCTACATCAACGCACAAAGCAAACCCAGTGTAATGTCTGATTTCTGACAAAAACCAATTGACTATAAGGAGCATGCAAATAATGATTAATGATGAGGGGAAGAGAGAGAAAATATGGCAGATGAATCAGTATTTTCCAGTTACAGTGAAATATTTTATTGAATGTTCTATAGATCATTTAAATACATACAACCTTGACTAAAATTTACTTTTTTTTCTATTCATCAAATACTGCACATTTTTCAGTAATTTCCAATACAAATTCTGTAAATAATATCTGTTAATTGTGATTGATTATTTCATTTTCTTGAAGGTAATTCATAATAATGCTGAGTTTTCGTGAGGTTGCAAAAGCTTTTTATGTTTTATAAACATACATTTTTGTATATACAGGTTTTCGACATTGTTGAAAATAGCTCTTTACATTTTACTCATTAGCATTTTTGCTGAATATTATTTTAGAAATCTTTTTTACTTGTGTCATGAAATAGTTTAAAAGTTTTTATTTTTCATATGCCCAAATAATGAAGTACACTTGCAAATTTTAGCATTTGAAGTTGATGTAAATACAATAAATTTTCAATTCATCACTACTACCAAATAATAACATGTTAACATGATATTATTTGACAACATGACACCAACATATAGACAGTTAAATAAAATTTATTTTAAGTATTGTTTATTAAACACTCCAAATATTCTATTAAGTCATGTACATATATTATTAGGATAAAATATTACAAATTTATTTAATGTTTAAATTTTAATTTATAATAAACATTGAAAGAATATTTAAAATAATTTTTAATGAAATAATTAATTTTAAGTTGTCAAAATATCATCTGAATTCACTTTGAACAAATATGTGATATTTTCCATTAAACGAACAATTGAAATTTTCTGTTTTGACCATGCTATTTACAATTACACTTATTCTATTGAACTTTAATTAAAGTAGTTTAAGAAATGAAGTTATTGTTCCAACAATTCTTAAACCTGTTTGCAAAATTGTGTGTGTGTTAAGCATACAAACAAATATTTTTAAACTGATATTAATTTACTGTGATACAACTTGCCTCATGTCAAAAAATTCAGTAAATTTTGGTTGAATAGCAAATGTAATAACCAGGGTTGTGGAGACAGAGTCAAAGCAATGATCAAGTTACTAGAGTCAGAGTTGAAGTCAGTAAAAATGGACTGAATCTTATTTAAAATATCTATACAATTCAACGTAATGGATACTGCACACATCACAAGAATGCAAGGTGAGATCAAAAAAGTTTTGATCGATATAAACTATTTCAAGATACATCTAAAAGAAAAACGACCATTAAAGACACTCTCCCTTCCCAAATCTATAACCACAGTTATTCCAGCAAGAGATAGGAATTATTTTAACCTCAAGATACTAAGATCGGCAATAAATTATAAATACATTAAACTTAAATGGTTAAAACGTAATTTACAGAAAATTAAAATTGATAAAATTGAATATAATCAATATGGGAAAAATGAACAAATTAAAACTTTAAACATTTATAAAGCCAACAAGTTTAAAAAATTAGCTAAGAAATTTCAATATCCGACTAATAATGAAATAGAAGAATGGAAAGACTCTTTAGTTAAAAACAGAACTAAAATCCAAATTCCTGAAGATATCCTTGAAACTTTGCAAAAAGGACTGGATTTCAGTGGCCCCAAAAAAATGGGAAGTTCTGACATCAATTAAATAAAGATGGAAAAGAAGCCATGTATTTGATTGATAACATGATCTTGTGTTTAATGCTTAGATAATAATGTGATTAAGATCTTTTCAGATTATTATTGATGATGATTATTAAAAACAGCCAAAAACATTCATTTACTCAATAAATAATTATTCCTTGGTGTTTTTGTGGTTGATTTTAATAAACATTGTTTTTTTTTGTGTGTGTGTGTGTGTGACATTTAATTCAATTCTAATTGCATTGGCATGTCTTTAAAAATCTATACTTACATACAGAAAAGAAAAAGTTTTCAATTGTTTTTACTAGGGTTTCTCCAATGGGATCCCAGCTATTTTTTAACCTGGGAAATATCCTGGAAAATCCTGCAAATTTCTTAAAAATTCACTTTTTTTTTATTTTGTGTTACGGTTGAGGAAATTTTGCAAATAGAAAGTATAATTAACCCATAAACTGTCAGAATACATTTGTATTTATTAATTTTAAGCCTGCTTATTAGTTTTTTAAATTTTTACTTATGACATGTCACAGATTGTCAATAATCAACATGTAGCCTATTTGTGAGAAGACTGAAAATTCTTTGCTTGTCAGAACCTGTAATATCTGGAATAATTGTGCTTATGCTGTCTTAATTTTTAACCATGCCCAGTAACTCCAATAACTGCATTATACCAGATTGTGCAAATTGGGTAAGGATACAAATGAGTATGAAGTATGCAAGTATGAAGTTTATCTTCATAAACTTGATTATTAAAGCCAAACAAATTGCTGAATTATCAGGCTGTAAACGCGATGCCACTATTAAAGTGGCCGAGGTACAAATCAAGAATACTAGACCATAAAAGAAATACTGTAATGCATCTTGAAAATGAACTAGAAATCTTCCAGGCTACAGGTGAAAAAACATATAACATCTGTCTTCTCTTAAATGCATTAAAGATATTTCACCCACATCAATAGAATTGAAAAGGGCATTTTTGGTAGCAGGACGTATTAAGTTACTTAAAAATGAAAAATAATTATATCATTTGATTTTAAGATTTACTTTATTTTAGATTTAAGATATAAAATAAATCTTAAAAAGACAAGCAAAAGATCGGGAAATGAGAAACCCTAGTTTTTACATATTTGTTGAGTGAACTTAATTTACAATACGTCAAAAATGAAGTATGATCTTAGATTTCCTGAAAGACAAGCAAGAGAAATGAGAGTATTCATAGTGCCACTTCACGAATTTTTACTTCTAAGATTAACTTAAATGTAGATTAAAAGCATCTGATATGATTCCAGAGCCAGACAGGAAAGCAAGCATTAAGAAAATTTATTGAAGCATGAATATTCATATCTTGAATAGAAATCAAACTAATCTAAGTATTTCAGCTCTCCTGCTATTTACCACTCTGGAAGATTACCCCAAAATTAATTTTGGGGTAATCTTCCAGAGTGGTAAAATATTTAATAATTGATATTTGGCAGAAAAACATTTTTCAATAACTTAAATGCCTGTTTTTTTTTTTTTTTTTTTTTTAAGATAGCTGATATATTCTTTAATAAATGATTAATTTAATCTTTATAATATGACTGAAAAATAAAAGAAACAAAATGGTTTTAATAAATATATTTGGAAATAATTATTTAAAAAAAAAGCAAAAAAAAATTCAAAATTCTTCTTTCAAATAACATAAATTTATGTAAGACTTACATAATATGGTTCAGGATGTTGAATAGTATAAACTCCATCAACACTTAATTTAAAGCAAACTGGAATATGTCCATCCCATACTTCCCGCAATATTTCTCTATCTTCGGCCATAATAAAACTTCATCAACATATAAAAAAAAATTATAAAATTAACATTTTATATATAAATACATAGTACAAACATAAGAATAAAATAAAGGGATAATTCAATTGAGAATTTTCAGTTTTAATATATAAAGAATACAGAATACCTCATCTAGTACAACTTCATTTAGTACAGTATTCACTATAGTGTATTTTATATGTGCCTAAGAATTCAATTAATGTAAATACACTAAAGAAAAAATATTGCACTACACATAGCTAGTAGCAATGTTGCCAATTTAGACTGAAAAGATTGGCAAATGGCTTTACTCTAGCTGCTCACCCCTCACTCTCTACTTGCTACCTTTTGATACTGCACAATTCAGATATTTTTTGTTCTTATTTTTAAAAATCTTGCAAAATAATTTTGAATAACAATTCAAATGAAGAACACAGTGTTTATATAAGAGAGAAAATGTGATTTGGTGCTTCTAGGAGCTTCATCTAGAGGAGAAGAAGGGAAGGTTAATCAGCAAAATAGGATAATTTATTTTCATTTCAGTCTCCTTTAGTTTTTTTTAATGGATTTTATGACCTATTATTAAGGCAATTCTATTTATCTTTTAAATGAAAAAAAATCCTCTTCAAACATCATTTTCCTATTAAATATATTCCCCAATTGTGATTCAATTAATGTGTTTCCGAAAATGACTCCACTAACTTCACTAATTGGAGTATTCTTGTACTATTTTGTTACATGTCTAATTAAAAACATAGATGTATTTAATATAATTCATAATTAAATATTATGGGTAAAAATTAAGTTTAATTTCATGTAATAAGAACCAACATCAATCAAAGAAATCAGATAAAATATCTAGATTCTAATTCTTTAAATAAAAGATATTTATATTTAAATGCATATTAAACCAATTAGTTTGAGAAAAACATAGCTCTATTGATAACGAAACAAGATTAAAACTACAGAATCAGATTGATAAAAGAAGTAGAGATTTGAATAGTTTTCCAAATAAAATAAGAGCAGACATAATACAAATGATGTAAAGTAATTAATTCTAAAACAACTAAAAATTCCAGAAAAGAATGACAACAACAGACAGACATAGCTAAATTGGATAAGAAGTTTGTTAAAAATTGTATATGTATATATGAATCAGGTAACCAAGAAGTTCATACAGCTTTTCAACTTTATCATTTCAATAGAAGCTAAGAACTTGCAGAAATGTTTTAATGTAAGTCTAAATGACAAAACCATTTGTTTGCATTTACATTGCCTAGGAAACATCTGAAAGTGAGTAAATGGGTTTCCATATATATACTACTGACCTTTCCTTTATACATATATTGAAACAACAGACTCCAGAAGCTTACAATCTGTTCATCACTTTTCATACCATAAAAATGAGCCACTACTGTAACAATTAAACAAGAAAAGACAATATGTCACATAATATTAAACAAGTTATTATACAATTTTTATATGAATTTTGTCAAATACTCAAAAAATTCACAATATTTAATTGTTTACTATTATCTAAATACAACTGTGAATTATAAAGATTGAAGTCTTCATATTCAAAAGAAAGGTCTATTTGAGTAAGGACTATTTTGTCATTTTAGAAACTTTTCATCAATATGTAAACGTTATTTTTAGTTATACGATTTATTATACAATTTCTTAGGAAAGGACATACTAAATACAAGTTTTAAAATTACATTCTTAAAACAAGTGATTAATAGGAACACGATAAGTAACTGAAATGAAACAAACAAAAGTACTAATTATAATAAAAAAATGTTTTCCATTTGAAAGTAGCAAAAATGGTCATAACTAACTAAATTTTAATTAACAATAAAGTGGATAACACAAAAGTAAATCAAAGGATTTGAGAATTAGTAATTGAAAATATGAGAATCATTCAAATATAAGAGATTTCATTTTGTACTAACAACACACCTGAATACAATTACACTGACAAATAGAAATATGTTTAAATACACAACAAGCAGAAGTCTCTCATTATTTATTTCCTATCAACCGAAATCAACCTTTGAAATAAAAGTGTTTTTCCTCATCCACCATTCAATCCCAAACTAGGATTTTCATTTATTTTAATTACCAAATGAATCTTTAGAAAGTGAAACCTTTTGAAATAATATCACATAAATCATGTATCATTCTATAAATACTCAATCATTACTGCTTAGAAGGTGGAATGAAGAAGCTTTGCAACTGACGGGAATTATATTGAAAAATAAGATAAATACTATACGATAAATACTATAAATACTATAAGATAAATACTATAAACAAAGTTTTATGTTTAGTCGAATACTCATTTATATTTGAACAGCTTGAGATTTTCTAGTAAAGATACACTTGTTCAGTTTGATAATCATCCTAAAGATAAGTTTATATTGGAATGTGACCTGCTACAAAGAAATGAAACAAAGATAGAAAAGAAACAAAACTGAAGGCAACATAAATTATGCTGGAGAGAACAAATTACACAAGGAACACACCAGTAATTCCAACTCTACTTCATTACTTAACTATTCCAACTTAATAATGTTGGAATAGTTAAATAATAAAGTAAGGAGTTAGAATAGTCAATTATTAAATAGTTAGTTTGGAAATCAGTGAAAAATTAAATATTAATTAATTAAGATAGCTTTAAAATTATTACATCTTTTTTAATCTTATTTGATCTTGAGAACAGAATAATTATTATTATCTAGATTTAACTTCAGTTGTTATTGCTTCATATAAATTGTTTATTATTATTATAGTATTTTCATAAACATGCTTATGAAATTGAATAATCATGGGTTATATTTATAACATTAATTTTATTAATTCTATATTCTGATCGACCATTTTACATTGCCATTTCTTATTATTAAAGCGAATCAGGATTTGTAACATACTTATCAAAATTGAACAAGGTTATTATGAAGATCATAGTTAATAAATAAACAGAAGCCATTTATAATTATCATCAGATAAGCTTTAATCTAATGTACATCTAATTGAATGCCTTTTTTCATCATACAAACCCATCTTTAATTTTTTAAAGGACAAAGAACAAATTTTTTTGTAAAAAAAATTCCAAAATTACTCCAGAATAGAATAAAAAACAAAAAAAACATACAAATGCTCATTATCATTCCTGGTTGAAGTAACTTCCTTGCTTTAACTTGCAGAAAATAACTAATCAAACAGGATGTAACATAACATCAAATTTGTATTGTGGTTAATGTAATATTATTTCCTTTTTGATGTTACTCATTATTATTATTTATAAAAATGAAATAAATTTAATATTTTGATAGAAGTTACTTTTAGGACATAAATCTATACATGTAAAAAAAGTGGTAAAATTGCAATTCTGAATAAGGGATTTGGATCCCCTAGACAAATTTTACCCATTTTTCTGTGTTCAAAATCCCAGATACGCTGATAGGTTATACAGTAATACCTTGGGTTTTCATTGATTAATTTTGCAAAAAATTTGTCTTGGTTTTTGTCAGCATGCCCACTTGACCTTGCTGCTAATTTTATGAAAACAAATGGCAACCCACACATTTTCCTGCTCAGTGTGGTGTCATGTCTTGTTTTGTGAGCATTACACCTTGTGTGTCTAGCCAAACAATTCCATTGCTTTCCTTTCCTTTTAGCTCCATCATGGGACCAAAGAAAGTTTCCAGAGCCAGCAGCCCTTCAAATGCCATATTATACGTTCATTTATTCTTTACATTAATCTTTTATATTCATTTTATATTAACCACTCTACAGTAATTGATGGATATATCCGTCAAGGGCGATCATGTGGAACTGGTGAAGGATGGCTATATCAGCAAAAGAATTTTGCAGATATCGCCAAAAACTACCACAAAAAAAAATTCACTTAAAAAAGGAATTATGTGACAATAAAAAAGATTTATCTTTACTAGACATAACTTTAAAAATTTTTTTCTGAAACAGTAACGAGAAAAATGCTTAAGAAAATACTTAAAAAATTTCTAGGGCTGTGGAGTCGCGTAAAAATCTACCAACTCCGACTCCGACTTTTCCTTACCAATCCGACTCTGGCTAAAACACCAAAACTCCACGACTCCGACTCCACAGCCCTGAAAATTTCCCACATTTATTCTCCACTACATCATGAAGCATCATAGCTGACTAACCCACTGTACAAAGGTTAATTTCTTATTGTTTTTAGTATTAAACACAAATATAGTGTTTCTCTATAAAATGTGTTTTTGGTATGTGTTTTGAAGTGTCTAGAACAAATTAATTGGATTTACATTGATTCGTATGGAAATAATTGTCTCGGTTTTGTTGGTTTTGGGTTCTGACAATTGTTTTCGGACAGATTATTGACAAAAAGCGAGGTATCACTGTATCTTGCAAAGGTAAACATAGACCATTTGTTCCTTTGACATTTTTGCTTGTATGGGCATGGTCTACAGCTCTGTTAAGGTCCCATCCATCTGCCTCATTCAGAGCTGCATTTGTATCTAAAAATTATGGTTTTGGGAGTTATATATTGCAAGGGGTCAAATGTAAACCATCTGTTCCTTTGACTTATATTGGCAAGGTCTACATTTGACTCATTCAGTGCTGCATTTGTACACCTAAGTTACTCCCTATCGTTATTTCTTATTAATCCTAGGCAATCTAAGAAATAATTTAAGAATAGATCATCATTTTGCATTATTTTACGCCATTATTTGAATTCTTACCTTATTTAATTACAAAAATGTTAAGTTCCTTACTATATAAACGTCGTGAATGTATTAGAACATGTACATTCGCACAGCTGACATAGACGACTCCACTATAAAGTGTTGCCAGATAAACATAAAAATAATTTAATCAAATAAATTATAATAAACATAAATTATTTATTAAATATTTAAAATATTATTTATTTGTTTTAAATTAAATTTTTAAATATTTATAAACTTAATTTATATTTTTGGAAGTTTCGTACTCTTTACGATTTCCTGGCAAACTTGGAGTGTCGTTATATTTCGCGGGAATAACGAACAGTTTGTAAACAATCCATGCTTTACTGTTGATTAAACGATGCTAATTTAAAATGACAGAATTAATTGGACACGTAGGAGTACCTTCACAGCTTAATTACGGCAGTAAATTGCGTGTGAAAATTCGAAGCATTTCGAGAAACTGTTATTGTTTATATTATAATAATGTAGCATATTTAATACAGTTTGAAAATCGTGCTTTCGCTGTAAAGGTAAAGAATCTCGTTTCGTTTTTTTTCCCTTAATTGAATTAAAATACAATTTGTTTTTAAGCACAGCGTGATTTTTATATTAGTGTATTTAACTTCTAAATATAATATATTTCTATAGGCGACGTATACGTTTCCTTCTTATGTAACACACATTGCTTTAGTTGAATCAGAAATGTATGCTGTAACGTCAGAAGGAATTATGACAGAATCGGTAAACAGAACGTAAGTAGAGGCATTATCTCTATTTTTCTTCATATTGTGAGGTTCCAAAAACGGGTCGAAATTTAAATTTATAGTTACCAAATTTATTATAAAATTTATTAAGTCGAGAAAATTTTCATTGTTAAATCAGACCAAAGGTCGTGTAAGTTGTGCAGGATATATGAGACAGAGACGAAAGAAAAAAACTATTAATGTCAAACAAATGCAATGTGAAGACGAATGATGTAATAGATCATAAGGGAATGTCGACCAAAAGAAGTAGAACTTTAACAGAATGCTCGTATACCAATGGTCAGAATTTAGAAAATCAGGAAATCAGGTTGACAGTCAAAGGGACATCACATCAGGCTGTTGAAATTCTAAAACGTCAGAGGAAAGACAATAATGAAGTAAAATATGAGTGCAGGTTTCAAAGTTTCATGAACACTTCCTGGTCAGAGTCGACGGATAGTGTCAGGTAGATTCTTTGAAGTGAACCTTTCTTGCGGTCCAGGTGGGTCTTGTCTTTCACCTGGAGACAGGAGAGGGACCAATCAAAAAAGAGAAAAGGGACACAGAGCCAATTAAGAAGGTAGATGAAGAGGGAGAAACACATAAAAACTCTGAATTCCAAGGTCAAGATGCAGTTTTCTATAATGCCCAACCTGTAACCCATGTCACTTCAGACTTAGACTGTGTCACTGATGCCAACCGACGGAGTCTCTCCACCTGCCTTATGAACTGATCAACGCCACTGCCCTGGATCACCTTTGATCAATGATTGAGAAAACAACATTGACGCCCAGGACGTCTGAACAACTGATTGTTTTAAAGCAAACTATTTTGCTCATAGTGTAAGTTATTTTATTGTGAGATAGCCGTGGGTACAACTCCGTTTAGGATTGTTCGTACCACTTAATCGGCACAGATTATCCGAAATCTGTCTCCAAAGTTTCGGATCGAGAGATCCGATCCTATGTCAAGACTTGTTTGACCGGGAGGGCAGTAATATTAGGTCTAAAGAGGATTGAAGACGGTAAAGTCTCTATCCGAATTTGTCAGGTTCCCGACACCAGTTTATCAGTTATTTTACATGCGGATAAACACGCGTGGGGCAATCTTATTTAGATAATAATTGAGAGACATTTCTTTATAAAATAAACAAGAGTAAATTTAATTAAACGTAAACAAATAATGGGAATACAAATACATGATAAGGAGACTACCACTACTAATTATAGTCTATAAGTCGTGCGAGATAGGGACTTATATCTAACCGATACACGATTGAGAGAGAGAGCTCATAAAATCATTTACAAACATACAACCTGATCGTTGTCTTTACTCTTCGGCTCTGTATATGAAGTATTTGTTCACTCCTCGAATTCTCTGTCTTCTTTCCTCTGGAGAGATCAATTTAACTGGGTGTATTTCTAGACTCAATCCTTCGTATATTGTATGGCTCATAGTATAGGCGTTGGCCTTTAAGAGCAAATATGTATGGAGTCCTGACTCTTCTATGTCTGTCGATGAACTCCCCGAATTCTGATAAATTCCCGCTATATCTGACGATCGGTGACCAATCATCATGCAAGATTCTTCCGTGGGAACGGATGAAAAGGGGAATATGTGAGGGGTAAACATTTCCCATCAAAACGAGGTTTTTCGCAGATAAGGGAAAAACAGAGGATGTACTAACTTCCCTCGAAGGAAGTAACATCTGTTATCTATTTTTCCCACGTTTGAAAACGTTAATTTCTCACCAAAATGAAATAATATTTTATGACAGTATTAAACATTATTAATAAAATTACTGTTTTAGATCCAGGGGCCTTTCAGATCTCACATTATGTTAAAATAAATGGTTTTTGTTAGACACTTGTCATCTTTGTCTCCTCTGCCACCACCATATACGAAAGGACCCTAGACCATTACTGATGTGCCTAAAACTGGTTGCCCCTAAAAGTCGGCTTCTTACAATATTTGCTACTTGCTTTATATTATTTACTTAAAAATTAATTTATAAATCCAAACATTAAAACTTGATATTTAGCATTTTATATATCCTATATGTCTTTTTTCTTGGTATGAGTGAAGAATTGAATATTCACCCTCCTTTGGCCCACTCCTGTTGTCTGTGCCAAATATGGATGTTGTTGCAGGGGATGACCTATCCATTCGCAAGTTATAGGGAAAAGAAGTTGTGACACATTTTATGGTTGGAGAATTATGTAAATTGAAATTTTAATCCTCTCCTTTTGGCTTGCCTCTTCAGTTGATCATGCTACGTATAGAAAACAATGTTGCAAGGAGATTGAATCACTCTTCTTCAGTTTTGGGAAAAATATCTCCAACATTGTTTTCTATATGTAGCATGATCAACTGAAGGGGTGAGTGAAAGGGGATATAAGTTTCAATGTACAGACTTCTCCAACCCTAAAATGTATTGCAACTTCTTTATAAGTCAAGAATTAGTTCCTCTTGCAACATTGTTTTCTATATCTGGCATGAATGATAGAAAGGGCTGAAAGAGGGAGTTAGAATTCACTTTACAGAATTTTCTATTTGTACAAAGAATTTGGTTTTTTTGATGTTGCTTAGTATGCATTTCTGTGATGAAGAATACAATTTCATGATTCACGTAAGTTGTAGTTTACTTTTAACATGATGTTATGGAATCTCACAAAATTTTTTATTTCTGGAGTCAACTCTTCAGAAGTTAGAAAGCCTATATACAGTACCAAATTTATCAATTTTATTAAAATTCTTGTTTCTCATAATTAAAAAAATAAGTTTTTATTATGTTATTTTATTATTATTATTATTTCATATTTTTATATGTTTTATGCTTTTTTTATAACAATTAATTTTACATTTTTTTTTTATTTTAAAAGTTCTGAGCTTATGGAAGACACCGTTGAAGATATTTTTGCAAAATTGAATAATTTTGAAAAAGAATCACATAAGTTACTCACAGATTTTACTTATAAACAAGATTCTATAGAATCACTGATTTTAGTTTCAGAGAAGATAGTGATATGTTTTAAAGATAAATTACTTAATGCATGGACAGTAAAGATTCTATATAAAGAACAGTTTGGACACGAAAAAATATGTTTCACTGTTGACTGGGATAATTATCCTTCTAATGAAAATATTGAAGATCTACTGCTTCTTGATCCTTTTGAAAAGAAATGTAAATAATCTTTTTTACTGAAATTAAAATTGTAATTGCAATTCTAATTCTGAATAACGTAATAATTTATATATTTTGATTAATATTCAATAAGTAAAAGTAAATTATACTACTTATGTTAATTGAAATTTTTATTTAATAGCTTTTCCACTTCATCATAGACCAATACTTCTCAGTATTGTACATAGTGAAGATATTTCCACTAGTGAAACAACTTGTAGTTTGCAGAAACATCTATTTATTTCTTTATTTGGTAGTTCAACATTTTTGGCTTCTCAGGATGTTATTCTTTTGGGCTTACCTGATGGAAGAGTCGTGTGGAAAAACATTTGTTCAGTTTCAAATGAAGCTAAAGCACATCTTTTATGTAAATTAAATCAACCAATAATTGGATTATTTTGTACAAAGTTGCATTTACAAAAAGGTAGTGTAAAAATTATTTTCCTTTCTTTCTTAAACAAATCACAGTTTGTCTTCAGTTATTAAAATTAAGAGAAAGTGATTAAACCTTATGATTAATTTTTTTTGCTAAAAATACATATCATAACTTCAAATATGCTTATTAATTTAAAATAATTGGGCTGCAATTTGAAAAATTGTGGACATAAATTCCCACTGTCGTCTGCCTGTCCTTCCTTAATCTTGAGAACAGTGTTAGATAGATGAAAGTCAAGATCAGATATGGAAAGCTTAGAGGCAAGAGGCCCTGATTAACTATATACAAACTTCTGGTCTAGACTGGACAAGTCATGGGATTTTAATTCAAAAATTTTCCCCTGAATGGAGTTACATAGATGACCAGCACAATGCTGTTGTTATCAGGAAAAGTGTGATTTACAGGGGCAAGACATTACTATTTTGTGATTGAGACAATGGCGTAGCGAACATAACTGGTGCCTGGGGCATAACACTATATTGGCGCCCCCTCCCCTTCCAGAAACAAATCTTGTTTGTCTTGGAGATCATTTGGCACCCCTCTGCAAGTGGTGCCTAGGTCATAATAGGCCCCCTTGCTCCCCTCGCTACACTAGTGGGTCTTCTTTCCTTATTCCTTGATATCTCTTGTTTTCTTCCCAGCTTTTCTCCTTGAATGATGATTTTTCCCCCTTTCCTCTTGTGCCAGTCCCCTTTGACCAATCCGGTGTCACCCCCTATTCTCTAGTGACCCATTGGACCATTGGATCAACCAATTATGGTGAGGTCAACAGAACAAAGGCCGAATGTGAAATTTATGAAGGAAAAAATGGTGGAAGAAAGAGAAATAGAGAGAAAAAAAAAAACAAGGCTCAACAAACCACACACTGACAATTAGATAACAAATCAAGTAGCTTCAATAACTTCACTCACTCGGGAGTATTTAAATCAGAATCATACATCACATGTAAACAAAATAAACAACTGCGCGAGAAGTGTTAAATTTGAATGAGCTAGTGCACCGCCTCGTGCACCACTCATTCCCTCTTGCTCATTCCCGAAGCGCGTGAGTTGTGGACGAGATTGTTTGATATGAATTGGTTTATTTTGATTTTTAAATTTAATAGTTGGCAATTTTGCGTGCTCTCCTTCAAAGGTGCCCTGGGCATGTGCCCTACTTGCCCCACCCTAGCTACACCTCTGGATTGAGAGCATATATTTTAAATTAAGTAAATTAAGAATATGATTAAAAATTGCAGCCTGGCATTGTGATGATGTCACAATAATTTTTGCTCATTTTACTTCAAAATATGTTTGTTTAGATTAGATTCCAAAATTATTTAGATGATAATGTTTTGTTTAGATTCAACTTTTTGATTCTAGGTATCAGTTTTTATTAACTTTGTCTTCGAAAAAAAAATTTTAGCAACAGAAAAAATATTTTAAACAAATTTTACAAAATAATAATCAAACTATTTATCATTTATGATTATAATTGATTTTTGAATTTTGGCTTGCACCTTTAATATCAAACACCTTTCGTATATTACTGAACTAAATGTACACAATAAATGTACAAATGGGTCATGAATAATTATTTTTATAATGTGATTAGTTTATTACATATTAAATAATTTATTCATATTGAATAGTGTGGGAAATTGCTGAAAATCACTATTTGCATTGTTTAGTTATTAACTAGTTATATATGAATATTATAATTTCAAGCTAAATTTCAAAGAATAAAAAATTTCAAATAAATTTTAGATGCATTGTTAACTTTAAACTAAAATTTAGTTGTAAAGATTACAGCATATTGAACTTAAAATTATATATAAAAACAAAATTAGTAATTTTTATATTAAAATTTACAACATTCACCACCATAAAAAACTAGTTGTTTAGAATAAAACTGCACACAAAATACTGCACAAATCAGTAAAAGGAATAAAAATTATTTACTTATACAAATGTTTTCATTTGTTTTTAACAATCATCATCAGGTAGTCTATAAGGAAAACAGAACAAACTGTCAAATATATTTAAATCCAAATATTTCAGGTTTTGCAAGTCCATTCTGTCCAGAATTATCCAATTATTTTGATATTTAATGTGTTTATTTTCAAACTTTCATGGAGATCATGAAATTTTCCATTTCAGAGCTACAGATTGAATTGAAACCTTGTCGCCAACTTCAAAGTTGCTCTTCAATCCTTCCATCTTGGCTTTTGTTAGAATTTCCACTTTTCTACCAGACCCAGATAGAAAAATTCACCTTATTGACTTCCAGCAGTGGGTTGAATACAATAAAAACATTTCTGACTTATTCATAAATCTTCCTCAATTAGAGCCTAACAAATTAACAAATCTAAATGTAAATGCAACAAACTAACAAATAGAATACAAAACTAACATTTTAAAATTGTTTTAACTTTGGTAACAGCAAAATCATTTGTGAAAATTAATTTTGTTTGTATTATGTTTAATATCTGATTTTAACATTTTAAATGCTTTATGCATTATAACATAATCACTATATTAAAGTAAAACCCTTCTGCCTTAATGAAAGATTTTTATAATTTTTCTTTTTAGCTGTCTCAGAATGAAACTCCCTGTATAACATTCTATTGTATTGTTCAACTTTTGGATGTTAAACTTTTGTATAAGTTTTTAAGAACACACATATCCAAAAGTCAGGGATTGCCTATAATGCTAAAAATTAACAAAGAACTTAATCATTGACAAGATGTATTGAGATTTATAGATTAAAACAAATAAATGTACTCAACTTCAAATCTCAATACATTTATTTCATTGATCATATTACATAAAATATCATTTTATTTATTTTTAAAAATAAAAATATTATTTTCATGTCCTTTCTAGAATAAAATTAAATTTTAAAATATTTAAATTTATGGAGTAAAAATACTAAAAGTAAACTATTTAAAATGAAAATAATAAAAATTCTAATTATTATGATTAATAACATTTTTATTTATTGTGTGTTATTTAATTTTAAATTAAATCACTAATGCTTTTTTTTTTTTTTTACTTAAAGGTGAAACAATATCACAAGCTCAAGACTCCTTAATAGTTCTAGGATCAGAAGGGAAATTTATTGTATTCACTATGAGTGAAAAATCTGATCACGAAAATAAACATCTTTTATTATTCAGTTATTTAGAAACATCACTTTATTCATACTTGGTATGGAAAAATTACATTATATATATAACAACTTCTGGCGAACTCTTCCGTGCCGAACTTCAATTGAACGAAGATTCTCTCAATGTAAATACATATACATTACCAGTGAATAGAGTAACTGCATTTAGTTTTATTGAAGAAGGTAAGTTTTGATGATGTTTTCTTAAAAAATTTTTCATAAAACTGAAATATTTAAATATTTAATTTTTCAGAAAATAGTATAAAATTACTGTGTGTAACATATACTGGGGATCTATATATTGTTCCATTTAATGATGGTACNGATCATATTACATAAAATATCATTTTATTTATTTTTAAAAATAAAAATATTATTTTCATGTCCTTTCTAGAATAAAATTAAATTTTAAAATATTTAAATATTTAATTTTTCAGAAAATAGTATAAAATTACTGTGTGTAACATATACTGGGGATCTATATATTGTTCCATTTAATGATGGTACCAAAGAATATTCTAACCCAAATGAGGTGCAAAATATTTTGAAATCGGTTAATAACTGTTCAAATGAAATTTTACAACAACAACTGATTCTTAAAGAACAACAACAAGCTTTATCACAATTAGCAATAGCTGCTAATTTGTTGTTTTGTAGTAAGTATTATATATTGAATTTTAATTTTTTATAAGTATTCTTACTAAAAGATGATTTTATTTTATAAAAATTCAATTTTGTTGTAAATTAATTTTTCATATTTTTTCTTCACAGAACAAGTTTTGGATGATATTAAATATACTTTAGAAACAATAAAGGAATCTGAATATGTATTACAAGTTGATTTTTCACCTGTGAAGAAACTTGATGTAATTCTTGGTTATTGGTACTTTGCTATCTTTATTCACATTAATAATAAATCAATTTGCAAGTTCATTCCTATTGACAAGTGTAAGACATTTTTTATTTTATTATTATTATTATTTCATATTTTTATATGTTTTATGCTTTTTTTATAACAATTAATTTTACAGTTTTTTTTTATTTTAAAAGTTCTGAGCTTATGGAAGACACCGTTGAAGATATTTTTGCAAAATTGAATAATTTTGAAAAAGAATCACATAAGTTACTCACAGATTTTACTTATAAACAAGATTCTATAGAATCATTGATTTTAGTTTCAGAGAAGATAGTGATATGTTTTAAAGATAAATTACTTAATGCATGGACAGTAAAGATTCTATATAAAGAACAGTTTGGACACGAAAAAATATGTTTCACTGTTGACTGGGATAATTATCCTTCTAATGAAAATATTGAAGATCTACTGCTTCTTGATCCTTTTGAAAAGAAATGTAAATAATCTTTTTTACTGAAATTAAAATTGTAATTGCAATTCTAATTCTGAATAACGTAATAATTTATATATTTTGATTAATATTCAATAAGTAAAAGTAAATTATACTACTTATGTTAATTGAAATTTTTATTTAATAGCTTTTCCACTTCATCATAGACCAATACTTCTCAGTATTGTACATAGTGAAGATATTTCCACTAGTGAAACAACTTGTAGTTTGCAGAAACATCTATTTATTTCTTTATTTGGTAGTTCAACATTTTTGGCTTCTCAGGATGTTATTCTTTTGGGCTTACCTGATGGAAGAGTCGTGTGGAAAAACATTTGTTCAGTTTCAAATGAAGCTAAAGCACATCTTTTATGTAAATTAAATCAACCAATAATTGGATTATTTTGTACAAAGTTGCATTTACAAAAAGGTAGTGTAAAAATTATTTTCCTTTCTTTCTTAAACAAATCACAGTTTGTCTTCAGTTATTAAAATTAAGAGAAAGTGATTAAACCTTATGATTAATTTTTTTTGCTAAAAATACATATCATAACTTCAAATATGCTTATTAATTTAAAATAATTGGGCTGCAATTTGAAAAATTGTGGACATAAATTCCCACTGTCGTCTGCCTGTCCTTCCTTAATCTTGAGAACAGTGTTAGATAGATGAAAGTCAAGATCAGATATGGAAAGCTTAGAGGCAAGAGGCCCTGATTAACTATATACAAACTTCTGGTCTAGACTGGACAAGTCATGGGATTTTAATTCAAAAATTTTCCCCTGAATGGAGTTACATAGATGACCAGCACAATGCTGTTGTTATCAGGAAAAGTGTGATTTACAGGGGCAAGACATTACTATTTTGTGATTGAGACAATGGCGTAGCGAACATAACTGGTGCCTGGGGCATAACACTATATTGGCGCCCCCTCCCCTTCCAGAAACAAATCTTGTTTGTCTTGGAGATCATTTGGCACCCCTCTGCAAGTGGTGCCTAGGTCATAATAGGCCCCCTTGCTCCCCTCGCTACACTAGTGGGTCTTCTTTCCTTATTCCTTGATATCTCTTGTTTTCTTCCCAGCTTTTCTCCTTGAATGATGATTTTTCCCCCTTTCCTCTTGTGCCAGTCCCCTTTGACCAATCCGGTGTCACCCCCTATTCTCTAGTGACCCATTGGACCATTGGATCAACCAATTATGGTGAGGTCAACAGAACAAAGGCCGAATGTGAAATTTATGAAGGAAAAAATGGTGGAAGAAAGAGAAATAGAGAGAAAAAAAAAACAAGGCTCAACAAACCACACACTGACAATTAGATAACAAATCAAGTAGCTTCAATAACTTCACTCACTCGGGAGTATTTAAATCAGAATCATACATCACATGTAAACAAAATAAACAACTGCGCGAGAAGTGTTAAATTTGAATGAGCTAGTGCACCGCCTCGTGCACCACTCATTCCCTCTCGCTCATTCCCGAAGCGCGTGAGTTGTGGACGAGATTGTTTGATATGAATTGGTTTATTTTGATTTTTAAATTTAATAGTTGGCAATTTTGCGTGCTCTCCTTCAAAGGTGCCCTGGGCATGTGCCCTACTTGCCCCACCCTAGCTACACCTCTGGATTGAGAGCATATATTTTAAATTAAGTAAATTAAGAATATGATTAAAAATTGCAGCCTGGCATTGTGATGATGTCACAATAATTTTTGCTCATTTTACTTCAAAATATGTTTGTTTAGATTAGATTCCAAAATTATTTAGATGATAATGTTTTGTTTAGATTCAACTTTTTGATTCTAGGTATCAGTTTTTATTAACTTTGTCTTCGAAAAAAAATTTTAGCAACAGAAAAAATATTTTAAACAAATTTTACAAAATAATAATCAAACTATTTATCATTTATGATTATAATTGATTTTTGAATTTTGGCTTGCACCTTTAATATCAAACACCTTTCGTATATTACTGAACTAAATGTACACAATAAATGTACAAATGGGTCATGAATAATTATTTTTATAATGTGATTAGTTTATTACATATTAAATAATTTATTCATATTGAATAGTGTGGGAAATTGCTGAAAATCACTATTTGCATTGTTTAGTTATTAACTAGTTATATATGAATATTATAATTTCAAGCTAAATTTCAAAGAATAAAAAATTTCAAATAAATTTTAGATGCATTGTTAACTTTAAACTAAAATTTAGTTGTAAAGATTACAGCATATTGAACTTAAAATTATATATAAAAACAAAATTAGTAATTTTTATATTAAAATTTACAACATTCACCACCATAAAAAACTAGTTGTTTAGAATAAAACTGCACACAAAATACTGCACAAATCAGTAAAAGGAATAAAAATTATTTACTTATACAAATGTTTTCATTTGTTTTTAACAATCATCATCAGGTAGTCTATAAGGAAAACAGAACAAACTGTCAAATATATTTAAATCCAAATATTTCAGGTTTTGCAAGTCCATTCTGTCCAGAATTATCCAATTATTTTGATATTTAATGTGTTTATTTTCAAACTTTCATGGAGATCATGAAATTTTCCATTTCAGAGCTACAGATTGAATTGAAACCTTGTCGCCAACTTCAAAGTTGCTCTTCAATCCTTCCATCTTGGCTTTTGTTAGAATTTCCACTTTTCTACCAGACCCAGATAGAAAAATTCACCTTATTGACTTCCAGCAGTGGGTTGAATACAATAAAAACATTTCTGACTTATTCATAAATCTTCCTCAATTAGAGCCTAACAAATTAACAAATCTAAATGTAAATGCAACAAACTAACAAATAGAATACAAAACTAACATTTTAAAATTGTTTTAACTTTGGTAACAGCAAAATCATTTGTGAAAATTAATTTTGTTTGTATTATGTTTAATATCTGATTTTAACATTTTAAATGCTTTATGCATTATAACATAATCACTATATTAAAGTAAAACCCTTCTGCCTTAATGAAAGATTTTTATAATTTTTCTTTTTAGCTGTCTCAGAATGAAACTCCCTGTATAACATTCTATTGTATTGTTCAACTTTTGGATGTTAAACTTTTGTATAAGTTTTTAAGAACACACATATCCAAAAGTCAGGGATTGCCTATAATGCTAAAAATTAACAAAGAACTTAATCATTGACAAGATGTATTGAGATTTATAGATTAAAACAAATAAATGTACTCAACTTCAAATCTCAATACATTTATTTCATTGATCATATTACATAAAATATCATTTTATTTATTTTTAAAAATAAAAATATTATTTTCATGTCCTTTCTAGAATAAAATTAAATTTTAAAATATTTAAATTTATGGAGTAAAAATACTAAAAGTAAACTATTTAAAATGAAAATAATAAAAATTCTAATTATTATGATTAATAACATTTTTATTTATTGTGTGTTATTTAATTTTAAATTAAATCACTAATGCTTTTTTTTTTTTTTTACTTAAAGGTGAAACAATATCACAAGCTCAAGACTCCTTAATAGTTCTAGGATCAGAAGGGAAATTTATTGTATTCACTATGAGTGAAAAATCTGATCACGAAAATAAACATCTTTTATTATTCAGTTATTTAGAAACATCACTTTATTCATACTTGGTATGGAAAAATTACATTATATATATAACAACTTCTGGCGAACTCTTCCATGCCGAACTTCAATTGAACGAAGATTCTCTCAATGTAAATACATATACATTACCAGTGAATAGAGTAACTGCATTTAGTTTTATTGAAGAAGGTAAGTTTTGATGATGTTTTCTTAAAAAATTTTTCATAAAACTGAAATATTTAAATATTTAATTTTTCAGAAAATAGTATAAAATTACTGTGTGTAACATATACTGGGGATCTATATATTGTTCCATTTAATGATGGTACCAAAGAATATTCTAACCCAAATGAGGTGCAAAATATTTTGAAATCGGTTAATAACTGTTCAAATGAAATTTTACAACAACAACTGATTCTTAAAGAACAACAACAAGCTTTATCACAATTAGCAATAGCTGCTAATTTGTTGTTTTGTAGTAAGTATTATATATTGAATTTTAATTTTTTATAAGTATTCTTACTAAAAGATGATTTTATTTTATAAAAATTCAATTTTGTTGTAAATTAATTTTTCATATTTTTTCTTCACAGAACAAGTTTTGGATGATATTAAATATACTTTAGAAACAATAAAGGAATCTGAATATGTATTACAAGTTGATTTTTCACCTGTGAAGAAACTTGATGTAATTCTTGGTTATTGGTACTTTGCTATCTTTATTCACATTAATAATAAATCAATTTGCAAGTTCATTCCTATTGACAAGTGTAAGACATTTTTTATTTTATTATTAACAATTAAACAATGCTATTGTACTCACATTTATTATCTCTTAATTTAATTTTTTTAAAATATCAGAATATTATTTTTAGTATAAAATCTTTAAAAATGAAATATTTATTCCTAAAAATAATTTTCTAATTGGGGAGTTCTATAGAATAATACTTAAGTGTACTTGGATAACTTTTTAGTTGTTTTATTATGCATATTGAATTTATATATTTGAATATATATCTGAATAGTGTTTTACAGGTATGGACATTCTCCTTGCTATAATAAGCACTTTACTGACATATATTTAACATTTACGCTTTCCTCACTTCATAACAAACCTCATGCAAAAAGAATTCCTGAAAACATGAATATTTAACTTAGGTACCTTTTTCTACAGAACTCCTCAATTATAATCACTTTTTAATATTCTGTTGCATATTTCAGTTAAGTAACTTTTCAGTAAATCCACTGTTTTTATTGCTTATAAATTAGTAAAATTATTGAATAGAATTTATGATAAACCTCTTATTTAACTTTTGATTTGTAAAAATTACATATAAATAAAAAAATAACAGAAATATTTGTAATATTGAATCTGAAATGTAAATGATGTAGAAAAATTTTTACTATAATGATAAATGCACCTTGCTTACTTTTTCAGCAGACAGTTGTATGCATTATAAATGTTTTTGGTTTCTTTTGGAGGTTCTGTAAGATTATAATTCGTAGCTGTTTAGATACATAAATACATATAGCTTACAAGAGAAATATCACAAAGATTTGCATTTCTTGTATTATGTTTTTATTTCGTGTTTTTATTTCTTTTCAAATAAGGGGTTAAAATCTGAAAACCATCCATGTGCAGAACCTTGTTACAGATTACAAATTAATCTGAAGCCTGCTTCAGATTGTTCTGTTGTATGAACATTATTGTAGTTTCAAATTATGCAATCTTCAGGCTTCTCAAAAAGGTTGAAAATGTTTGTAATGCATACAACTGTCTGCTGAAAAAGTAAGCAAAGTGTGTTTATCATTATAGTTTAATTTTTCCAGTTTGGACAACTCAGTTTTAACAATTTTTACAAATTAACTTTTTGCTGAATTTGAACTTTAAAATTTCTAAATGTTTAAAATAATTTCAAGAACGTAAATGTAAAAAATATATATTTAGATAGATTTTAAATGTAATAATAAATTTTTAAATGCAGTACCAGACCAATTATCTGGAAATCTCAGGATTGACAGAGGTCCATATTTCTGGATTTTCAATTTTCTGGACACAGGCTAAATATATACTTAAAATATAAAATAAACAATGGAAAGTCAAGAACAAAATTATTTAACAGATACAAATGAATAAACTTTTAAAGCAGAGTCTGATCAGGATATTAATCCTCTTAAATTATAGAATATCATGAATTGTGTAATATTAGATTGAAAATGAAATGAAAAGAAGTAAAAAACATAATGGAATTGTTGTTGTGCGATGTGTATGCCATGGGAACCAAAACAATACAGTTGTGCATCAAACTATAGCTGTACTATATCCTGCCAAATTGAAAAATAGCCAATTTTCTGGTAATTCTGGATTTCTGGAAGCTGGTTAATTGGTCTGTTTCTATATCAACAAATTAGTTAAATACTGATTTAAAATTTTTAAACACTTAAAAGTTCTCTAAAATAAATTAATGAAATTTTTTCTTTATAATCTAAATACAATTGTTTTTGAACAATTGCATACAGATTATAAGGAAAAATTTTCTGTCATTAATGAACAAGAAACTTATTTCTAAATTGAGTGGGAGAGCAAAGTTTTACTTTCCCAGCTGCTATAGAAGAGAAAAAGTATTGTAATTGGTTGAACCTTGACCCTCCATTTTTTGCATTTTTTGACATTATAAAAATTTTCATAAAATTTTAATAATTTGCAATATTTGTTTTTTATATAAAAAGTTAATCTTTACAAAATAATCCTTAGTTGATTGGAACAAGTCAATAACTTTTAAGATAATTTTTTATTGTATTAATATAATAATACATATATAAAATAGTATTTTGGTTTGTCTGTTCTCTATACACTTCTAAAACTTTGACCAACCTGGACTAGTTTTTCAGAGTTACTTTTTAGGATCATGTGGAAAGTATAAGCTGCCATGAAACTTTGATACCCCATTCTTTCCCCTAATTTATGTCATAAGCATAACAATGGTGGGCTAAAATAACATGATTTTCTTTTTAATGTTTGTCATTCTTACTTTTTGCCTAGACATGTTTGTTAGTATATCATATATAATTTAATACAACCTAGAATTATCGTGTATTATTGAATATTATATAATTAATAAATATTCATATGTTATTTTAGGTTTCCATTCTCAGTTTAAACTGAATATTGAAAGAGCTTCAACATTTTCACATCCAATTAAAGTGGAGTGCATATTACAGCTTGATCTCTCATCAGTAAAAAATTTACCTTTGTCTATAAAGAAATTATCTCCTGTTTATATATCTGTCAAAGAAGAGTACTTAGATTTATGGGATTTTTTATTAGATGAAAAAAATGAAGATTTATTTAATTGTCATTCAGTAGAAAATAAACATGATAAAGAAAAACAATTATGTGAAGGATTAGAATTTAAATCATTTCTTTCAGAGAATAATATGAATTTTGCTAAAGTTAGACCACTAACCACAGCTATTTTAATATCTACATACAGAATTGGAAGTAAATATATTAAAAATAATGATGGTAAGTATCTCAAATTATATAAACTATGTAATTATTATTACTTTTCATATAATGACTTTAAAACTCATTAATATAGAAATGAATCCAAATTGTTTTGAATTTTAATTATTCATCTTCAGAAATTGCTTTTTTTAAAATAGATTTTAATCAGCTTTCAACTTATGTAAAAAATCTGAATATGATACAAACTTTATATAAATATTATTATTACTATTGATACACTTAACATTTTATCAATATACTTAATAGATTAAATAATATTATATGTAATTATAATAATATTTATTATAAATCTATGTATATATAAATTTAACATTTTCACACGCCATATATTTTCATAATTCATATTTTTTTATTTTTGTAGATTATAGAATTCTATTTATGAAACTATTTTTATTGAATTTTTAATATTAAAATATTCACTTTTTATTTTTTTAAATCAAATTATCTCGTTTTATATTTTAATAAAAGCTGTTTTAAAATGCTAAATATTAATCACATTGCAATTCATATAATCTATATCAGTGATTCCCAAACTTTTTTGAGTCACTGCCCCCTTGCTTCCATAAACTTATATTCAATGCCCCTAACCCATTTTCCCTTATGTGAGAAAGGCTTGGAAATATTCTTAGAAGACTTTTATACAAATCTCACACTTTGTGTCCTTACCATACATTGTTTTCCACATCTGGAAACCATTAAACACAATATTTATTCTTACCCATTTTAATAGAGGAAAGGAAAAGGTTGCTAGTTGCCTAAGGTCATTGTTCTGTCAGGACCTTGCCTCCAGTGACCCCTGCCACTCCTTGCTTCTTTTTATCCTCTAGATTTACACACTGCCTACCAGGAAGTATTGATAGTACTGCCACTTTGGGAACCACTCTCTGGGGGAATGTTAATATAAATAGTTTATTCAGTGTAAACACTGTTCAACAGCCAACTGTAATTAATCCTGTAAGATGCATCTCATATGCAGTATGATACTGTCGATACTGTCTTTTAGTTTGAGGGCATGTTGTGTGGCAATGTGTTCTTAATAAACCACACTTTTTAAATTCCCCACAAGTAAAACATTTTAACCTCCTGTTCAAACAACTCCATAATAGCACATACACACAAAGAAATAAATGCTGCACTAATTAATGCTATGCTCTACTCAAAAACATTTCATCTTTAATAAAAGTGGACTTTTTCCCTTTTTTCTATAATTACACTAGCATTAACAACAAACATGTAACCATTAACTATGCAGTAAATATTTACTAATCAAACATTTTCTGTCTTCTTCATAGACCTTCTTCAGGAAGTATATGCTTTTTATACTTTTAAAAAGAATAACATTTGATTAGTGAATATTTACTGCATAGTTAACAGTTATGTATTTGTTGTTATAATGGTGGACTCCTTCATTAAAATAGTTTTTAAGCAAATAAAACTGTTTTTTGTTGTTTGCATCATCAAAAGTGGTAAATTTTGGTACTAATTTTTATAGAAATGTCTTCTCTATGTCACAAAATGTCACCACACCAAATTTACTTACATTTAGATTGCTAAATATCTCTCTAAACAGCATTAAATAGATAAATAAACTGTGTTAGTTATGATCATATGATATATGAAATAGATAATTTCAATTTATTACTATTTCTTATAATGTAGAAATTTAGAATTTGACTGATTTTTTATTTGCAGTTTCAATTCTAAATTTAGCATTTATATTTAATATATCATTAAAAAATAATACTTTGATTATAAAAGAAAAGAAAGTAATTACAAAATGTGTTTCTTTATTTTTCAGATGAAATTAATATGAATGAAATATTGAAATACTTTTCAGAAAAAAATGTAAATCAAAACTTGAAAACAAATAATAATTGTTTGCAATGTTACTGCTTTGGTTTTAAAATATTTATAAGATTTTTCCAAAAACAAGAATTTTTACAGGCTTGTGTTGACACTCATCATATGTGGCATCTGTGTAAATTAAGAAGAATTATTATTCAGAAATTAAGGGTAAGAGTTTAAATTTATTTTATTTCTGTTATTTTTAATTTATTATGCATTTTAAGCTATTTTAATATAAATCTATGAATTAAATTTGAGTTTTCAGTTATCTGAAGTAGCATTATTGGTTTAGCATTACCTCAGATAATCAGGGTTATACAGTTATATAATATCCTCTTAAAAATATAATTGTTTTTTAACTTAAAATAATTTAAATTATCAAATATTTCCAATAAAAAAAATTCAAATGCTGCTTATAGTTTTAATAAATTCAATCAATAATTATTTAGAGTTTAAATTCAAAAAGTTTAAATTTATCTTAATATCAAGCATTATATTATTTTGATAGATTACTCTTAAATAAAAATATTGTATTTATTCAAATAATCTGTGCCCTCAAGTAATCCATACACCCCAGTTTTTAAGTTAATAGTTTAAAAATCTTGACTAATTTAATTTATTACATATAAAACAAATTTTATTAATTTATGGTAGTGAGACAACATCAACCTTCACTCTGTCGGTTCTATAGCATTCAATATGGCAGCACTCAGCTTACAAGCCATGTGATATTAAAAGATGAAAATACCAAGAAAAAATAATTTATTTATATACTTTGAAAAACATGCATTACTATAATTTGCAAATAATGTCTTTTATAATAAATTAATTTACTAAGTACAACTTCTTTATATGTTTTAATTTGAATTGAAAGTGTCAATTCAAATTAAAACATACTACTAATTGACCAATATCTTAATCTAAATGGTAATATAGGTATAAAGATTATTTAGTATCTGTCTCAGTCATATATTTAACTTGCTTTATTTATCCTGGTTTTTGTGAAATTAATCACACAAAAATGTTTAATTTTGCTTGTAACTATTGACTACAGTCAACCATTTTATTAAGAAAAGTCATCTAGTTGATAAGCAAAGTTAGCACTAGCAAAGTAAGTGAAATGCTTAATAATTGGAAATATTCTAGGGTTATATGCTCTCCACCTCAAATTAGTACTGTAGTGTCTTGCTCCTGTATATCATACTTTTCTTTTAACAATAGAGTTGTGCCAGTCATTTATCTAACACCTTTCATAGGAAAATTTTTGAATTAAAATAATGTGATTTCCAGTTTGCATCAGAAGTTCATGTATTGTTAATCGGGGCCACCTACCCCTAAGATTTCCATATCTGGTCTTGTCTTTCATCTATCTATTTTCTGAAGATTAAGAAAAGACAAATAGACTGATAGACAGACGACAATGGGAATTTACAGGTCTACAATTTTTTCAAATTGCAGCCCAATAATAAACATTTAAGATAATTGGTTCATCAGATGCTCTGCTGTTATTAGCATGACATTAAGGAAAAAAATGATCAACTACATCTTTGATTATAAATGGGTGATCATAATATTAAATTACACCTATTCTACACTGTCTAGAAGTATTTCATTGTTCTAGAGAAGTATTTAACAGTTCAGATGCAACCAAATCCGGTATGATATTTCAGGACATTTGGAAGACTTTTCCATAAAAAAAAATTAGTAACAAAACTTGGCATTTTTGGCACTGAAAATGCCCAAAAAGTGTAGTTTATCAAGGACATGTTACAAATTTGGCAGCCTTTAAAGACAGTATTACACTGCATGCAAGAAGCATCACAGAGGATGAATTATGGTTGTCTGTTGAACACATTTCATTGTTTTCAAGTTTTACATCTTTAGAATGGGGACCACATTGAGCAATATCCTCTGCAACACTAAGATTTCTGTATAGTGTGAGTGTTTTTTATGAATAAAATGTTTGTTTTTTGCAGAGCCAAAAGTGCTATAGTAGATTTTACAGATTATTTTGCATTCCTGAAATGTCACCATACCAGATTTGGTTGCATTTTGACTGCTAAATATCTCTCTAGATGGAATTGAATAGGAGTACTTTAATTATGATCAGTTGCTATTTATGCGATTTATCTTGTGTGATAAAATCATTATATTATTTCCCATAGATTACTTAGTTACATATTAAATTATTTTTGATAATTTATTATTATAAAAATTGCTATTATACATTATATTTTAAGTATTATGTCTTCAAATAAATGTTTATACGAATAATATACAAAAAATAATTTACATAATAAATTTTCTAGTAATTGCATAACTATTTATAATTTTTTATGTTATGTAGTAATGTTTTAAATGTTAAATTGCAAAATGCATCAATTATTATTAATTTTTGGTAAAAATAATTGCCATAGTTACAAATTGTTTTTACATCAACTTAGTTTAAACGTTTGATCTTTCAGAAATAAATATTTGAAGTGTATTCTTATTAGTTTAAACAAAATTAGTATTTTTAGTTTTTGTGATTATAAATGATTTAAATCTTGCAGGGTCTACTGAATATGCAAAAACCAATATCAGAAAAAACCATTACCTTATCTAAAACATGTTTTGTTGAAACAAAGGTAATTTAATTTAATATTTATAATTTAAGTAAAGTAACAGTCATAAGTAACTTACTCTTGTTAGCAAATATCACATGCTAACAATATTATCAAGCAGTGATTTCCAAAGTGATTGATGCTACCACCACTCTCTAGAGGATGGTGGAAGACTCAAGGGAGGTGCTGGAAGACAAGGGGGACAAAAATTCATTGTAAAGCAAACAAAAAAAATATAAGAAATATATGCACTATATCTGCACTAGAAAGCAGAAAACAGTTAACTGTGTAATAACAATATAGAGGACTATATTCAAGATTTATAAATTTAAGTGTAAGCTGCTTTTTATAAAAACTTATATTTGGCAGTATTCTTTTTTCTTCTTCTCAAGTGTTGAGTATCTAGTAGATAAAACTACTGACAAACCTTTACTAAAAGATTTTATTAATCTGGCAAATGCATTTTGGATGATTACTCCTTTCAGTGCCATAAAAAACAAAAAATATATATTAAAACCAAAATATCTAATTACATAATTATAGGAAGAATCCCATGGTTTAATTGTAATTGTCCTTCTGCATGATGATAATAGTTTAAAGATTCAGTTAAAATTATATGATTCTTCTACTGATAATTTAAATAGTTTTTTAATTTTTATAAAATAGAAGAGAATAATTTTTGCTTAAATTTAAAAATCTTCTTACGTGAATACTGGAAAGCATATAAATTAACACTCCTAAACCTTAAAAGTCCTAAATATGCCACTGAACCCAGCATAAAAGCTGACCTACATGAGGCCAAACTGATCAAACTTTTTCACCATGTGGAACACCTACGAAACCTGGAGGCACTTGAAATTTACAAAGCCAAGTTACGTACCAATTGCATTAACTCTAATGATGCCATCAACGTGTCACACCCGTGGAAGTACTGCTATGAAGGAACGGGCAACGACCACACCAGCAGTTGGAAATCACATTCCCATTTGGTGTATTTATATGTATTTATATAAGTGTATGTATTACATATACCATTCCATCGCCATGGCAATGCACATGCATAACTGTTTATTTTTTTAAAATCCGTTTGTGCTGTTCCAGTTTTTGAAAATAATTTCATAATTTTTGTTCTATGCATGCACTTGTTCGAATCTCACTAGTTTTTTAAACCTGAAGAAGACCGAAAGTACAGTTGAAGACGTTTGTTTGCTATTCAGGCCTGGGAGTGCCATTTCCCCTTTGAAAAAGTGAGAAAAGTGAGTTGAAATACAGAATAAGTGAGTAAAAAGTGAGTGCAATACAAGTAGCCCTCGGTTTATGCTGGCTCAATTTATGCCGATTCACAATAACTCCGCTGCGCAATTCACCATTTCGCAGTGTAATTCCCCAATTTTCCCTATACTAGACTGATTTTCATTTCAGTGTCGACGTATTTACCGAGCCGCGACATTGTATGTTAGTTACAAAAGATTTTCTGTTTAATATTATTGGGTATGCATACATTTGCATTAAATTAATATTAAAATACTAAACATTTAGGTACCCACGAGTCAAGTTATTAAACTTAATAGTCCAACAAATGGTGTCTGAATCAATAGTGCCAATGAATGTATCCCGTATCAGATCGTTCAGGAAAACACTTTACGACGCAGTAGCACTTCCAGCGATCACAAATCATCATTAGTGAGACAAATCTACTTTTCATTGGCCAGACGATATCTATCTCTTCTTAGCCACCTTCAATTTTCCTGCTCAAACTGACCTTATATATGGGCTACGGCAACCAGTGGTCGA